AAAAAATCAAAATGCAATCGAAAAATCGTTTTGGCAACTTTCCATGGCAATTGGTCTTTTGGGAAAATTTCTGTGTTTTTTTCAAAAAGTGCTGAATTGACCATTTTCCCATACAAATTTTTGATCCACCATACATACTGCAATAAACACAAAATCAACAATAGACCTTTAACATTTGCACCTGTTACCACACAAGTAGTTCTGTAGACCTATTCAATCCTCCAGCTTTTGTTTGGCCAATATGAGAGACATTGAGTTCCGTTGCAAGTTGTAAAATGATGCTAATTCTAATCCAAAAACTTCACTTTTTATCTTGAATTTTCCAAAAAGTTCGCGAAAAGCGTGGCCGTACCGGTGCAATATGTATGTATGTAATATTTCGATTTTAGGTCATAAAACAACGTTGAACAACAACTAGAAGGTGTAAATAGTGTTAAAATGATCCCAGGAGTGCGTAGAGAGCACATAGGAAGGCGCGAATTTAGTGCTTTTTTTAAAAGCGGCCTAAATGACGTTAAAATGGTAGTCGTGAGTGGATTGATTTCAATGGGCTGGATGAATTTTGAAGTACATAATGAGTTTCCTTGGAAAATTATTGCTTAGCGTCTTTCTGAAATCTGTCAGTTGTAGTTGTAGTAAGGATAGTACTACTAATGTGTAGCAATGGGAATCAATGGCTGTCAAGTTGTAACCCTGATGTCCTATGAATGGTTCTTCTGTATTGTGTAAACTGGTTCTATTGGGATCTCCTGTGGTATTTATACTTCTTATCATCAAGCTTATCTCAAGCTGACAGAAATCGAAATATGTATTGTGTAGATCAAGTCGGTTTTACAATCCTGTATCCTATGCATTTATTCTCTAGTTTTTATATAAACTTCCAAGTTTAAATATTGACTATATAATGCTCGTAATGACGCAAATGTTTGAGCGACGTCTGCTACTATGTGTCAAGTTATAATATAGGTACAATTACCAGATATTACTTAAATGTATGTAATAGTGAATAATTAGATATTATATATATCATTATACAAGGGAGTGAGACTTCGGTCTCTGTAGAGTTAGGAGATATTTTATCAGTGACAGGTCGTCGAGCTGTAATTGACAACACGATAGTCCGCTTGCTTTTTAAGTGTCAATTGAGGATCTCATCATCCCATCCCATTAATAGCACACTTTGTGTAAAAATACCATACCAAAGAATGATCAAATTGCCAACATTTGCAACTTCTTGTTTCGTGATAGTCATGAAACAATGAGACATGACCTTTTAGGGTGTATGAACGTATGAACCAGATCTGTGATTATCTAGAAAGTAATAACTGTGTTCGTTTTGGTTCTCCCAAGTGGTTTGGCTACCAAAATATTCCACCATTTATAGTGCCCAACACTCCGAAACACCATTGTCATCACTGTTAATGTAGCATAGCTGTCGAAACTCTTAGCTTATGCAACAGCATCATAACACTCTATACCATAGTCACAAACTCTTTAGAATTCCCAATAGACCGAATCACCAGACACCAGACACCACCAGTAGATGCTTCATCTACTAAAGCTAAATGTGAAAGTTAAAAAATTTCTAGCTCAGTTTTTGAGCTTTCCCAAACCTGAGCTTGTGAATTTCTGAAGCAATAGCTGAGTGCTATTGGAGGTAGCTGGCTTCTCTTATCAACAATGGATCTGTTTACATTTCAAATTATCATATCACAAGTTTCAACTGCTTTGGTTCATGAATGAGCATTCAATTTTTAAGACAAAGACACAGTCTGCAGTCCCCATATATGCAGTTAACAGGATATAGACCACTTTGGATGCGAGACCAGAGACCAACCAGATAATATTAAAGACCATTTTTGGTTCTTGAAGATCCATTGAATAGTTTTCTCAAAGGCGTTGATGTAGGAAAAGGTCAAATTATATTTGACATATTGTTTGTTTCGCGATTGTTAATTAATCGGAGGTCGGAAGCACTAAAATACAAATTTTGAACAGCAATAACTCTAGCTATATTGTGTAAGAAGGATTCAATAAATAAGATTCTTTATACTGTCATTATACCGAATCGTTCCAGGTAGGTTTCCTGGTCCCTACATTGTTTTTTCCTTCTAGCTAATTCAACCCTTGCAAATAGTATAATTATAAAATTCTAACAGGACGTAGTCAATAAATAAAATCGATAGCCATTTTATAAATTTATAATTGTATTAAATACTAAAATATACCATCATATTGATCTACAAATAACTATAATATTTAGATACTATTTCTACCTAACACATAAACATTACCAAGCTGTTTAGTTCGCATTAACGGCGCTTGTGGCCGTGATATCGGTCATCGCAATATCAAATTATAATCAAATTCAGGTTTTGGCGCCATAACCCATCAAAATTATGGCTTCAAATCACGAAATATCACTCTATACCGTTCAATATCAAAATATTATATGATCTGCATAATCAGATATATAATAATTTAGTCTACAAAGTATAAATAGCTCCGCATCAACCTTGTAAAATGTATACAATTCTTTCTCATTATTGCTAAAATTATTTTACCTATATCCATAAAGAAACACAATGTCAAACGCGTCTCAATTTGAAATTAATAATAAAGAATTCACTAAATCATTTACTCAAGGCTCATTACCATTACCACCTTCTAAAAAAGTTGCTGTTTTAACTTGTATGGATGCAAGATTAGATCCGGCTAAAGTATTGGGTATTGAAATTGGTGAAGCTCATGTTATCAGAAACGCAGGAGGTCGTTCAATTGATGGTCTTAGATCTTTAATAATTTCTCAAAGACTATTAGGAACTAGAGAAATTGTACTTATTCACCATACTGATTGTGGAATGTTGACATTTAAAGACGATGATTTAAGAAATCAATTGGTTAAAGAAACTGGTGAATTAGTTGATCATTGGAGTTTTTTACCATTTGATGATTTAAAGAAAAGTGTTATTGATGATTTGGAATTCTTGAAAAAGCATCCATTGATTCTAGATGTGCCAATTACTGGTTATGTTTATCATGTTGAAGATGGTAGTATTGAGAAAGTTTATTGAAAGATATTGTCTACAATTTTGATTCAATATTCCCATAAAACGTATATATTTATCTCATTAAAAAACCTTTATTCATTATGACCAGCGTTGAAACTCTTTTGTTGTTGATGTAAACTAGCACCGTTGTGCACTGTATAAGTCAACTGTGCCAATTTTGTCTCTGTAGCTGATAATTTTGTCTCAAGACTAGCCACTCTAGATTCTAATAATCTAACATATGGTAACAAATCATGATTGTTTTTTCTTAATTCATCATCATTGATAGCTGTTGTATTCGTTTTCTCAGATTGAGTATGTGATTCTTCTTCAGCTATTGGGTTAATTAGTGGTGTTAATCTATTTATTGAAGGTAATTGATTGTTTAATCTCCATTGATTAATTTCATGAGCTTGTTGTTTTTCAGCACTTAGATTTGCTGATGACACTTGACTTGATATTGATGAAGCTCTTGAGCGATGTTGCGGTGTATTGGTATCTTCAGCTAACCGACTTTTCAAAATAGCATCATCAACTAATAAAGTACACCCACTTTGACTGTTGTTATGACGAACTAAAGCATCACAACGAGCAAATTTACGACCACAATTTTTACATTGATATGGTTTCTCACCAGTATGTAATTTTTCATGTCTTTTCAAATCGTGTAATCTTCTGAATTTTGATGAACAAATGGAACAACTAAATGGTTTTTCCTTTGTATGAATCAATAAATGTGATTTTAAGTTATGCTTTCTTGTAAATTTATGATCACAATGTGGGCAGTTGAACTTTGTTTCTCCATTTTCTTCATTGTTATCGTCTTCATTTTCATTAGATTCAACTGTGTTGAGATCAGCTTGACCATGTGAAACCCCTATATTACTGGAGTGTTGTTGTTGATTTATAGGCTCAACCACACTTGATAAACCCAAGCTAGGGCTAAGTATTTGTGACATTTCTGGGATTAGTTTGAAAGTATTTGAGCAACACCAAGACACGGTAGAACAGCTAAAAGCTTTTTATTTATACAACCACCATCCAAAAGGCACCGTTGTTGAAACTGTGTAAACAAATTTACAAAACACTAAAAAACTTTCCTATGTGTCTGGGTGTGGCTGCTGTGGCGATGAAAAACAAAAAAGGAAAATAACCGGTCTTTTCGAGCCGTGTCACGTGACGCGCGCGAACTGGCCGCGAATGTGTTTTGCAAAATTATTTTTTTTCACTGAGTTGAAAGAAGTTCAAGTAAAAGGTGTTTTGTACTTGATTCAAAGAGAATTGACACTTGTGAAAGTTATTGAATATGAAACTACGTACTTTTGTTATAATTGCATCGCCTTTTGTTGGCTACTATTATGTAGACCAAAAACTATCAGCTAAATATCCAGATATTCCATTGTCTCAATTACCATCAGATTCAAAATTGAAACAATTTATGAAACCAAAAACTTCAAAACAATACTTTGCTTACTCAGATATATACAAGACAACTGTTAAAAGTGAATCATTAGATCAATTGAACTTGAAATTTCTATCTACACCAGGTATTTCCAATTTAGTGTCAAATGAAAGTAAAACTGCACCATTACAATCTCAAGTGTTGAAAACATTTGATTCAAAGAATTCAAAATCAACAATTTTGGAATGGCATTGGAGTTCCAATTCAGGAATTGTACCATTTTTTGAAACTTTATCATCATATGGGTATCCTTGGAGAATGATGAATGGTGGGTTACATGAGATCTTGATTAAAAAATCACAATCGAATCCAGATGAATTTGATGTATGGTTTTCCACAACACATGAATATAATGATAAAAGAGATGGGAAATTGATTCCAAACTGGGTTCAAAGCTTGCACAGAAACTATGCTAGGGTACTATTATACCTTGCTACAGAGAAATGAGCTCCATCCCATCCACAATTCCTGTATATAGAAGTGCTTTTGTATAAATTGAATATTCAGCTTTAGCTTATATGATGTAATCTGTACACCAGCGCTCGTGTCCATTTCCTAATTGGGCGATATTCCTCACCAGGGCAACAATCACCAAAAAAAAAGGTGGCCAGCAACAAAAAAAAAGTGACTTGTTAAATTTTGAAATGAGGGAAAGGTAGAGAGAAAAGATGGTGAAGAATAGGTCGATATTGGTATCGTTGTGATGCTCTTTCTTAGTAGAATCTACTTGTATAGTATAAAGGTAGTCTTCTGTACCGGTTTCCAGAATGTCCTGGCTTTCCAGCGTAGCAACTTCTCCATAAAAATCATGTGCCCACGATTGGTTTTTTTTTTTTTTTTTTTTTGGCCTTCATGAGGGCGAATTCTGAGAAATAAACATTTTATCATGAAATGGTGGATTCCATTCGATGGAACAACGTCAATTTAACCAACTTTTCAACACTAGATCTACAGATATCACAAGCCCATAACCTCCTGGAGAATTCACTGCTGTTAGTCTGCGAAACGCTGAGCCATTTCCATACAATCTGAAAACACCACACTGAATCCCCCTTGACAAGTGGAAGGCTATAACTAAACAACACCCCCCTTGTTTGTATTGGTTTATTCAAAGAGAGAAAGATATCAATAGAGAAAGAAAAAGTCTTGATATAATGTCCTTGATGGAGCCAGGAACCAGGAAAAGACCAAGATCTTCCTTTAGTGATTGGAATAATTTGTTAAAAAAGAAGTTTAACACAACAACAAATAACAACAACAATGATTCAAATATACACGATGACAATACTTTTAATGTGAATAAAGATAATTCAAGTGTCATTATTTTGGATTCTGATGATGAAAATTATGAATTTAACGATATTGATGATGATGCTGATGAAAACACTTCAGGAATTGCTGTTAATGGACACAACATTTATGATAATGATGATAATGAATCAATAGTTATATTGAAAGAAAATCAACTTCCTCCTAATTACACAGAGAGTGCAAATTATAACACTGGTAATAACAACTTTGATTATAATTATAATGATGGAACTAGATCTTTAGATTTGCAAGATCAAGATGTTGATGATGATGAACAAAATATGGAAGAAGAAGATGATGGTCAATATTTAGCTAGATTGTTGAAAAATGAAAACCTCAACACTGATAGAGTTCACAACCCTTTTGAAAATGGTGAAGTTTTAATTGATGATGCTTCAAATAACATTGGTATTCATGTTGGTGTAAAGAAAAGAAGGACAAATTCATTACCTCAATTACCCTTATCACAAATTTCTTATAGAAGAGTTTCTGAATTGATCAAAATTGGTGAAATTAAACCAAACATTGTTTTAGCTAATGGGAATTCTGCTCCTTCTTCTTCATCATCAAATTCTTCAGCTGCTTCATCAACTTTTAATTATACAAATTTCAATTCATCAACAACTTATAATCATTCATCAACAACTTCACCTTTATCTCCAATATCCACAAACACAAATAAAATCAAAGTAACTGATGATGATGGTTATTATATTGCTGAACCTGGTCAATACTTTGCTAACGGACGTTTCAAAATATTGAGTATTTTGGGTCAAGGTACTTTTGGGAAAGTTATCAAAGCATTAGATTTAAATTCAAATGAAACAGTGGCTATTAAAATCATTAGAGCAATTCCAAAATATAGAGAAGCTTCTAAAATTGAATTAAGAATCTTGACAACTTTGAAAAATGCTGATCCTGAAAATTTAAACAATTGTATCCATCTTAGAGAAGTTTTAGATTATGAAAATCATATTTGTATCATTACTGATTTATTGGATATAAGTCTTTATGAATTTTTGCAAAATAATAAATTTAAACCTTTCCCAGGTTCTCAAATTCAAGCAATAACAAGACAATTGATTAGATCTGTTGCATTTTTACATGATTTAAAATTGATTCATACTGATTTAAAACCTGAAAATATATTGTTGACAAGTTCAGATTTTGCCAAATTCAAAAAGAATAAAGTTTTGAAAAATCCATTAATTAATGTTATTGATTTTGGAAGTGCAATCTTCAATGATGAATATCATAGTGAATTAGTTTCAACAAGACATTATAGAGCACCTGAAATTGTTCTTGGAACTGGTTGGTCTTATCCTTGTGATTTATGGTCATTAGGTTGTATTTTGGTTGAATTGGTAACTGGTGAAGCTTTATTCAAAACTCATGAAAATTTGGAACATTTAGCAATAATGGAAAAAGTTTTAAATTGTAAAATTCCAAATTCAATGATTAAAAAAATCAAAAATAAAGAAATTTTAAATTATTTTAAAAAAAATAATTATCATTATCATCAATATTTGTTAAATTATCCAAATAATGAAACTCAAGAAAAATCAATAAATTTTGTTAAAACCATTAAAAAATTGGATGATTTAATTTGTTCAAAATTAAAAATTAAAATTCATATAAATATGAATGATTCTTTACAAAAAAATTGGGATAAAAATCATTCAAAAAATAAATCTTTAAATTTTGAAACTTTTCAATTTTGGTTTTATTTTATTGATTTAGTTAAAAATTTGTTGAAATTTGATCCAAATCAAAGAATTTCTGCTATTGATGCAATGAATCATCCTTGGTGGGATTTTGGAACAATTGATGAAGCAACAAGTGGGTTGATGAATAATGATAATAGTTTTGGTGGGAAAATGATATAATGTTGTTGTTTGTTTGGGAATTTATAAATTTGTTTTGTTTGATCATATCGTTCGTTTTATATTTATTTTTTTCATTTCAAGTTCATGCCATTGTTTAGTGGTTTGTTTCTATATCCAAGTGACAATTTGAATTCAAGTCACAATCATCTATCAGTTTATTCTTTTTTCTTTAAACAACTCTGATAGAGATTTTTTTGCTGGTGATATTTTTTTGGGATTTTTTTATATGGTTTTATATGTGTGCTTTGTCTGTTTTCCAGGTTGTAGTAATGCCAACAGCTTTCATATTTTCATATATTTTTGGGTAAAATAGTTTAAATTGGTTTAAATATTAGTTTTTGGTTTAATTATTTGGTTTTTTTGGTTTTTATAGGCTTTAGAAAATAATTTTTGAGATGGTAAATTTTTTGTAGCGTGCACGACCAGTTTCGCGATATTTAAGTGAAAACTTTGGAAATGGCCTTACTAACATTAACCATAGATATTCGTTAATATCAAGCCGTTTACACCATGTCCACAGGAAATCCAGGTGCGTATAAGCTGGAGACTGCTACCGTGGAACTACACTAACCATATTTTCAGGAAACTCATACTCAAGTTACTCTCCAACACCACCAGAGCGTGGTTCATTTCCTCTAGATCATGATCATGAATGTTCAGAAATAATGGCTCAATATTTACAATGTCTCAAGCTAGTCAAAGGTAATAATGCCCCAAATTGTCGTCTATTGGCTAAACAATATCTGGGATGCAGAATGGATAACCAGCTTATGGAGAGAGATGATTGGAAAAACTTGGGCTTACCAGAAGATGAAAATAAAGAGGTCAAGTCCCCAATACAGAAGGAATGATGTAATGAGTTTAATTATTGTTCATAGGACTTATTATTTAATGATGACATGTAAATATATGAAATTGGTAAAAATTACAGGTAGCTCATCGCACTTTAATTCACAAAATAAAAACATTACACTATATACTTGTATTGGAGATTACCATAAAATATCCTTGTATAACCAAATATCCAGATAGTCAAAGACAAAAAAAAATAGATATAAAAAAAGAAATATAAATCAAGATGATATTGATCCTTTCATCTTGAAGTAATACTATTATACTATTGAAAAAAAAATAAAAGACAAACCATTAACATAAAAAGAAAAACCATATTGTGAGCAACACCAATAATACCTAATACCACCAACCATTTCCCGTAATTTAACCATTAATCCCGAGTAACATAAGCATCCTGCAAATCATAAACCTGCAAAACAATGTTTCCAGACACCACACTTTTTACTTTTAGAATCACCGTTGTGAGACAACTTCTTAGCAATTTTCTTTTGAGATGAGCTGAAAAAGTTTGATAGTTTATTAGCTCTCTCTCCTAGCTCTTGATCGTCCAAGTCCAAATATGATTGTTTAAATTGATCCCAGCGTTCTTTGCTATTTTTACTAGCCTTCTCCAAAGAAGTTTTGAGTGTATTTTTCTTCCTCTCGCCGTCAACACTATCCCAAAGTTTGAACCCTTTATCTTTCAAGACATTAACGGAGCCATTGGCATCATGTAAATACTTAGATAAAAGCCCATTAGCTGCACCACTGGACAAATTGAATCTAGCTTTCAAATAATCATAACCAACATGAAATGATTCTTGAAGATCATCTAATGGACCGTTCTTAGTAAAGTCAGCATAAGTTGTCTTAAAAAGTGACAAGGTCACACTTCCAGTGCGAAAGATGAAATTCTTTGATTCATTGAGATAATGTGACATTTGTTCCAATTTATCTTCCTTAAAGTAATCAAAATAACCACCCGAATTTAAATTATCAAATGTGCGTTTTGAAAAGTTTTGAAACGAGCTGAGCTTATTGTTGAAAGAATGGATTGTAGCCTGTACAGATTGGTCATCTTGAATCTTTCTAGTGAAAGATATCAACTTATCTTTAAACTCTTCCAAGGCACCAGGGGTTTTATCAACCAGTTGATTTGATTTATCCCTCAAAGCGCTAGCAGATTCTGAATAATTATAAGCTTTAATTTGACGTGCAATGTTATAAGCATTTTTTGAGGCCCGCTCCCACAAGTTTGCTGCTTTCATCGACATTGAAACATAAGCCTCCCCAGTATCCTCTCTGAAATTTTGAAAAAGCTCACTAGTCAGTTCCCACGAACTCAATCGACCAACTAACTGATCATGATGTTGATATTCTTCTTTTGGAATCACAGTTTCATATGGAACAGTGTTTTCCACAGTGATTGTTTGTCCTGGTAGATAATGAGTCTCAGTTTTTGTTGAATATCTAATTATGGTCAGAGTATTCAAGCCTTCTTCATAAGGTTTACGGCTATAGTCAGACAAGGAACCTCTTAATCCACCTAGAATTGACGACCCATTCAAAACCTGCACCAAAATATCAAGAGATACCAAAACAATTATACCATATGAAAGATGGTGCATGTGAGAATCAACAAAGCTCTGAAAACTTGATCCATCTGGTTTTTCCTTTGAATTCTCGCCCATATTGACTTTGTGCTTCTCAATAGCCTCGTCCTCCTTCTTAACATCATTTTTGATTGGATCAGGAAAGCTGAATGAACCATCAATAGGAATAGGCCCTTCTTTCAAAGTTGACACTGAGTCAGCAGCAGCTTCTTCCTGAACTGCTTTCAGGGTTGAAGCCGTATCTCTTCTTTTATTTGAAGGGGTGCTAGATTGTAAAACACCACCTTCTGATTCAGTTTCAGAAATTACACTGTGTGAAGGATCCATTTCACTTGCTTCCGAAGAAGAAGAATAATTTGATCTAATATCATGATCTGTTGAATAGTTGTCATCCGTGAAGATCACTGACCAATTGCGTTCAACATCATAGTTGAATGCAGAATCTGATAAGTCTGAAGTTTGAGGAGTGGTCACATCACTTTCACTGTACATCTTTGCTCCACTATCACCAGATTGATCTTTGACTTTTGGTTTATTATTGTTGTTGTTGGACATATTCTTTGATTTTGAACCCATCTTTTTTTGACAGCTTTTCCTTACTCCACAAATAGAACAACCACAATTTAGCAGCTACCGTAATCTTCAAGATAAATACCAATAACTTTGAACAACAATATTATTAGCAGTAGCTGGTTAATTATCTAATCAATAACTTAGCTGGTGGCGGTCGGCTTTTGAAGTTTGCTTAAAGTGGAACCGATTTCTGTCTCCTTTGTCTAATTTGCAATCCCTTGTGTGCCACCAAAAACTATAGCTTTTGAACTGAACGCTTCGAAATTGATTTTTTAAACTCGATAAACTTGAAATGTAATCTGATACTAAATCCTCTGCAAATAAAGGAATACACCAAAAAACTGCTTCTTTTCTCAAGTAATTGTGTGATCAAACAATTATTTTGAAGGTTACAAAAGATAAGTTCCCTCTAAATTTTCTAATCGCTTTGCATTTGGCCGGAACTAAGAGCCCCCGGATATTGGAAGTTACACGGCTTAACTAACAAATTTTGCTTATTATACAATTGCATTAAAATCTATTATATCTTCCCTGTTGAGCGTTCACTTAGAGTCTTGACTTTTTGGTGTATGTCAGCGACAGTGTTGGCAACTTCCATGAACAGGTTGAATTCCTCGTGTAGAGTGCTGATAATCAAATCTATACCTCCCAAATCACTAATAGAGTATTTTTCAATACCTTCAACTGCAGCATCAATTTCACCTAGTACTCTGGTGTATTCTTCAAGCTTACTTTTATAAAATTCCACCTTTTTGTTAAAATAGACATCCAATTCAATGGATGATATTTTGCTACCAGCTGCTAGCAATCTTTGTAAAATTTGGAAAAAGTTTTCAGAATCATGCAAAGCTTCATCTGTAGATGCCCTTATGTCTTGTAAGGTTGCCAAATCATTATCCAAGGCTTGATTAGTTGATGAATATCTATTCTGTAAAAATTCAATATCTCTAGGTATACTATCAATGACTTCTGTATGTTCATCTTGCTCTGCTTTTAATTGTTCACTTATTTGCACTTGACTTTGAATGTACTGGTCTAATTGTTCAATTTCTCTTCTGAATTGCTCTGGGAGGTCACCAACGGTGGTTAATGGTGTAATTTGAGGTAATTGTTGTTGTTGTTGCTGCTGCTGCTGTTGCAATGGTTGAGAACCACCAAACAATGATGACCCAGTGTTCGTTGTAGTGTTATTGGAACCGAATAAGCCACCAGTTGTGTTAGCAGTAGTATTTGCAGTATTATTATTGCCAAATAATCCACCACTTGGAGCAGCAGGTTTGCTTCCAAAAAGCCCACCGCCAGTTGTGTTATTGTTAGTGCTATTGTTATTACCAAATAATCCTCCACTTTGAGCCCCTGAAGTGGCAGCATTGTTATTACTACCAAATAGTCCACCACCAGTAGTAGTTGTAGCAGCTGGTTTACTACCGAAAAGACCACCACCAGTCGTTGTGTTTGAGGTGGCTGGATTATTAGCTCCAAATCCTGTTGAAGCCCCTGTATTTCCAAATAATCCACCAGCTGCTGGTTTGTTGGTAGAATTGTTGGCACCAAATAAGCCACCACCACCATTATTTGTGCTTGTAGTATTGGATGTGTTTCCAAATAAACCACCAGATGAAGCAGCTGGTGCTTGAGTATTATTTGATCCAAATAAACCACCAGCATTGCTGTTTGTTGTAGATTGGTTATTGGTGTTACCAAAAGCACCACCACCAGTTGTTGATGTATTATTACCTAGTCCAAAACCTGTACCTGTATTAGATGTATTGTTTCCAAATAATCCTCCCCCTGTTGTGTTTGATGTATTGTTGGTGTTTCCAAAAAGACCACCAGAGCCAGAACCAGGGTTTGTATTTGATTGGTTATTACCACTTCCAAATAATCCACCACTTCCACTGCTAGTATTTGATGAAGATCCAAAAAGACCACCACCAGAAGTAGCTGCTGGTTTAGCAGCACCAAACAATCCACCACCACCTGTGTTTCCAGTGTTAGTTGATGAGCTTCCAAAACCTGTATTAGCTGGGGCACCACCGCCAAAAAGACCAGTAGCGGACGCTGATCTTCCAAACCCACTTGTGCCTGAATTTGAACCAAACATTTTGACTATTTAGTAGATCAATTGGATAAGAACGTTTGGTGTATTGATTGTTGTTGTTCCAGGATCTCGATGTGTACTTTGAAATTTTTTGTTTACATTTTTTTTTGCCCTTGATCTCGAGATTTTCTCTAGTGGGAAAGGGATGCGTAATTGTCTGTCCATATCTGTGTAATACTCAGCACGAGTGTCTATAGAACAAATTTGGGAGACATCATAATAACCAAATACCTTCAAACTTATCTCAAACTATTTTCGAATGGCAATCCCCAAGTTCTACTCCATACTAAGACACCAATGGCCAGATGTCATTGAAAATGCTCCAGCTGATCCAAAATGTCACACACTCTACGTTGACATGAACACCGTGTTGTTCATCTGTCTAGCTGATTCTTCATCATTACAAGAATTTCATGTCAAAACTGAAAATTACATTCAATTGTTGGTTAACACGATTAAACCTGAACAGTTATTGTATCTCGCCTTTGACGGTGTTCCACCATTGGCTAAATTGAAAGGACAAGCCCAAAGAAGACGTTCAAGGATAAATACGCAACAAGTGATTGATTCAAACGTACTGACACCAGGCTCTGAAGTGATGCAAAATGTGTCAAACCACTTAACCAAGTTTATCAAAGAAACAATTATCCCTAACCAAAAAGGTATAAAAGTTATACTGTCAGATTCCCTAGTTCCAGGGGAAGGTGAACACAAGATTATCAAACATTTGAGAAAACATTCAGAAAACCAATCTTTCAAAACATTTATTTATGGGACGGATGCTGACTTGATCGTGCTTTGTCTTTCATTACAAAACACTGATGTCACTTTGATCAGGGAGTCGAATATCTCGAAAATTGAGAAGAAGTTTGAGGTGCTTTATATGGATGTCTTGAGATCCCATCTTCTTCAAAATTATTCATTGGAAATTCAAAAAAAAGTAGGCACTGACCTTATCTTTTTGGATCTGTTATTGGTTCTATCAATTATTGGGAATGATTTTTTACCTATTCCAATGGGGCTATCCGTTGAATCATCAACGATAAACAAACTTTTGGAGCTACTCAGAGAATTTCATATGGAGGTGGGCTTGAATATTGTGGACATGGATGGGACCATTAATCATGATCACATTGCAAAGCTTTTCCATAAATTTGAAAAATTTGACATGGAAAGATTCAGGTTGGAGAATCCAATCAAAAGAAGTGTACTGGATGCTAAGATCTTGGAGTTACAGCTTGCAAGCTTATCATTGAAGGATCGTAAGAGTACGATAAAGGATTCTGTTCAAAAAGCCGAAGCAGAGTATTTTGAAGAAAGCAAACTCAAGACTTACTCGAGGCAAAAATTAACAAAAGTGGGAACCCGAACGTTATGCAAGGACTACATTAGAGGAATTCAATGGCTTTTGCTCTACTATCTTGATGATTGTCCCAGTTGGAATTGGATAAATGCCAATACTGTTTCACCGTATTTATCAGATTTAAAAAGAGGATTGAAAAACTCAGATATAGAATTTGAAAAGGGGTCACCTATTCTTCCTCTTCATCATTTAGCTCTTGTTCTTCCCCCAAAATCTAAGTCGCTTTTGCCAGATTCATACAGAAATAGTGATGAATACGATCAATTTTCATCATTATTGAGGCTATCTAATTCAGCCTCATGCTCTGATATTTTCAAATTTGTCAAATATTTTGAGGATGAGATTGATCCAAGTCTAAAAGACAACGAAATCTTTAGAAATACATTCTCAAAACCTCAAATATTTATATAAACAGTTTTGCAATAGTTAAGGTAAGACGCGTAATTCCCGGTCCATGTAGTGTAAAATGAGTACCGCTTCAGTTTTCTACTGAACGTCGAAAAACAAAATCGAGACAGATCAACTCCATACAAAAAAGCACGTAACAACAGCACATTGCAAACAATTGATAACAACTTGACAGATTGTATCTACTTGAAAGCTAGTAATCACACTGCTACTTTATTTTAGACCCTTAGTTTCAAAAGGTTGAACTCTTGGGGACTCGTTACATACAACAAGAAAAAAACAGCAAAAGAGAAACCGCCCACAACAAAGTACAACAACATTTTATCGTATCATTTAAAGTCATCATCATGGGTATTCCAAAATTCTTTAGATTCATCTCTGAAAGATGGCCGTTGATTTCTCAATTGATTGATGGGAATCAAATTCCAGAATTTGATAACCTTTATCTAGATATGAACTCAATTCTCCATACATGTACACGTCCAAAAGATGCTGATGTCACCAAAAGATTAACAGAGGAAGAAGTGTTCAGTGCTATATTTGCTTACATAGACCATTTGTTTGATACTATCAAACCAAAAGAAGTGTTTTATATGGCCATTGATGGTGTTGCTCCAAGAGCCAAAATGAATCAACAAAGAGCTAGAAGATTCAGAACTGCTGTTGATGCAGAAAAGAATTTAGAAAAAGCTATTAAAGAAGGTTTAGAAATACCTAAAGAGGAACCATTTGATTCAAATTCTATCACACCTGGTACTGAATTTATGGCTAAATTAACAAGATATTTGAAATACTTTATCCATAAGAAAGTTTCAACAGATTCAAGATGGCAAGATGTTCAAATTATCCTTTCAGGTCATGAAGTTCCTGGGGAAGGTGAACATAAAATCATGGAATTTATCAGAACTAAAAAGGCTCAAAAAGATTACAACCCTAACTTACGTCACTGTATCTATGGTTTAGATGCTGATTTAATTATGTTGGGTCTAGTAAGTCATGAACCTCATTTTGCATTGCTAAGAGAAGAAGTCACTTTTGGTAGAAGACCAACACAACCTAAAACTGTTGAAGATCAAAGATTTTTCTTATTGCATTTAAGTCTAGTTAGAGAGTATTTGGAGTTGGAATTTCAGGATTTGAAGGAAACAGTTCAATTTGAATATGATTTTGAAAGAGTTTTGGATGATTTTATTTTGATCATGTACGTCATTGGTAATGATTTCTTGCCAAATTTACCAGATTTGCATTTGAATAAAGGTGCCTTCCCATTGTTGATCGAAACTTTCAAAGAAGCCTTAAGAGGATTGGATGGTTACATTAATGAGTATGGTAAAATAAATCTACAAAGACTTGGAGTTTGGTTAGATATTTTGTCTAAATTTGAATTGGAAAATTTCGAACAGGTTGAAGTTGATTTGGAATGGTTTAACAAACAGCTTGAAAACATCTCAATTTCCGGTGAAAAGAAAAGACAAAGACAAGGTAAAATTATGATTTTGAAGCAACAAAAAAAACTTGTTGGAATGATCAAGCCATGGTTATTGAAAGTCACATCTGCTAGACCTTCTTCAGAACTCGATGATGAAAAAATTCCAACCCTTGAACTTCCAGCTGATATTGCTGAAAATAACTTGGATTTTCTCAGAAAATTCGCATTCGATACAGGTTTAATTGTTGTTCACTCAAAATCCAAAAACACATATACTGCTAAAATCGATGTTGATGGTATTGATCCAAATGAAACTGATGAAGAATTTACCGAAAGACTCAATGAGTTGCGTCGTTCCATTAAGAAGTACGAAGCTGCAATCATTTTGGATGCTGAAGGTGAAGAAGTTGCTGAAGAAAGAAAAACCCTTTACAACGAAAAGTTTGAACATTGGAAAGATAATTATTACAAAGATAAATTGAACTTTAGTATTCATGACGAGGAAAGTTTAAAGGCCATGACTGAAAATTATATTGAAGGTTTACAATGGGTTTTATTCTATTATTATAGAGGTGTTCAATCTTGGCCTTGGTACTACAAGTATCACTATGCTCCAAGAATTTCAGATATCAAAAAAGGTTTAGGAGTCTTGATCAATCTTGAAAAGGGTGAACCATTCAAACCGTTCGAGCAGTTAATGGCTGTCTTACCAGCAAGATCTAGACAACTTGTTCCAGCAACTTACAGACCTTTGATGACTGAACCAAATTCTCCTATTATTGACTTCTACCCAAGTGATGTTGAAACTGATATGAATGGTAAAACTGCTGAATGGGAGGCTGTTGTTAAATTGGCCTTTGTGGACCCTGCTAGATTGAAAGAAGCAATGAGCTCACACAACCTTGATTTAACTCTAGAGGAAAAGCAAAGAAATTCATTTGGATCAGATATTTTATTCACATTTAACCCACAGATCAACGAGGTTTACAAGTCGCCGCTAACTGGTGTCTTTAGTGACATAGAGTCAAATAGATGTTATGAAAGAGCTTATCACCTTCCAGCTGTTGATCCAGCTAATTATGTCACCGGTCTTTGTGAAGGTGCTTTGTTAGGTGAAAATGCTTTAGCTGGTTTCCCAACTTTGAAATCAATCCCATTCCAAAGTGAATTGAAAGCTGCTGGTTTGTATATTTTCAACCAACCTTCTAGATCAGTTTCTATGATTTTGACCCCAGAAGACACACATGAAGGTTTGTTAGTTGATCAATTTGCCAAAAGATTTATTGGAAAAGTTGTTTATACCAGATACCCTTATTTGAGAGAATCAAAAATAATTTCAATCCAAGACGGTTCAACAGAGTATTATTTGTCAAAAACTGATAAGGGTTCAAAGGTGGCATCTAGATCTATGGATCCGGATGATTCAAAACAATTTAAAGCTACAAGGGACAACATGTTCAAGAACTATACAACCACTAAAGGTATACACTTGAAAAATATCCGTGCACTTGTTAAAGTGGTTCCAGTTTCAGGTTTGAAACGTAATTCTGCTGGTGCCTATATTAAAGACTATTCTAAGGAAGATGAAATTTATCCATTGCAGTTGGTTGTTGATGAAGTTAAACATAAGGACGAAAGATTCGCTGAGAAACCACCTCTCCCAATCAATGAAGAGTTCCCTGTTGGTTCCAAAGTTATTTTCTTAGGTGACTATGCATATGGTGGTGAAGCAACAGTTACTGGTTATTTATCAACCTCACGTTTGAACATTTCAGTTATCAAGAAATCCATGAAGGCGGAACCTACTATTGGTGCAATCAAAGCTTCTGCTGAGCATAGAGACTTCAAGTATTTTCCATCATTTGAAGTTGCAAGAAATCTTCATTTACAGCCATTATTTTTATCCAAAATAACTTCTTCATTCATTATTGAAAATGAAAAAGGTCAACGTGTTTACGTTGGATTGGATTTGAAATTTGACTCTAGAAGGGAGAAAGTTTTGGGATATACCAAGAAGGGAGAAAGAACATGGGAATACAGTATTCTTGCCATCAACTTGATTCAACAATACAGAAAATTGTTTCCTGATTTTTTCAATGCTCTTGCAAGACCAACAGGTAACTCCAGACAAGTTCCATCAGTTAATAGCATTTGGCCTAAAGCAGATAGTAAGACAATTGAACAAAACTTGAAGAGAATTACAGATTGGTTGAAAGAGGTCAAGTCAGATTTTATCAAGGTGTCTCTTGAGTCAGATTCCTTATCCAGAAAGAGTATCAAGGAGATTGAGGATCAAATTGAGATTTACGCTGTTCAAGCTGACAAAGAAGAGTCCAAAAAATTGGGTGGTGTTCCAAGAGATGCGGTGTTAGACCCAACTGTCTCATTCAACAAGTTGAAATCTCAATCATTCAAATTAGGAGATCGTGTTGTCTATATTCATGATTCTGGTAAAGTCCCACTATTTTCAAAAGGTACTGTTATTGCTTATAATAGTCTTGGTTCATCTGTCACTTTACAAGTTCTTTTCGATAAACCTTTGATGGGTGGTAATAAATTTGATGGAAGATTAAGAACCAATCGTGCATTGAACGTTGATTCTTCATTGGTGTTGAATTTGAGCTACAAGCAATTTATCTATCACTCTAAGGCATCCGCTGGTAAGAAAGATTCATCCAAAACTTCTAAGCAAGCAAATGGAAAACCTGTCAAACCAAGAGCACCTGTTGCAGCTCCTGAAGCTGCGAAATCAACCAAGGGTGAAACGCCAAAGAATAAAGGTGACACCGCAAAAGCCAAAGTGGATACAAAACCAAAAACTAAGAAAGAGCATGAATTGTTATCCTTATTGAAAGGTAAGAAAGATGAGAATAAAGATAAAGCAAATGGCAAAGAAGAAGAGACCACTAGCGAGGAAGCTACAAATGCTTCATTAAATGCTTACAGCTCAAAACATATTCAAGCATCTATTTTGAACCAGTTACAAGGTTTCCCACCGGCACCACCTCCAGGCCAATTTCCACCACAATTCATTCCTCAATTTGGTCAACAAATTCCACCAGGGTTCCCACCACAGTTTTTCCCAGTTTATCCTCCACCAGGTGGCCCAGTCCCACCAGGTTTCCCCCCAAACCAAGTTCCATTTCCACCACAATTTCAACAGCCTCAACCACCTGCACAATTTCAACCACAACAACAAGATAGCAAGACCGAATCTAATGAAAAGAAAAAAGTTCAAGGATCAAGTAATAGAGGTAGAGGTAACAACAGGGGTAGAGGCGGTAAGTCTACTCGTGGTGATGGTAATACTGCTTCTCGTGGTGGAAAGCGTAATGGTAATCAACAAAATGGTGATTCCAAAAAACCACAAGGTAAAGATGCTTGAACGACTCAGTGTTTTTTTCCTTTGAATGTACATTATATTATGAGCAAACAAATTGTAATCATAACTTCATTTATTAATAATCTTCTTGCATTGTATACGAAAGTGTCTTCTTCTCAGCCATTTCAGCTTGTCTCTTGAACCATGACTTTTCAAAGCCATTTGATCTGTCAACACCATCCCAACGCCAACCAGGTACAATTCCAAATCTATTTTCAGGAAACCCATCTTTGAATAATTTTCTTCCAGTTCTTGAGACGTATTTTTTTGATTTGCTTGGTTTGAATGATAGTAATGGATCATCATCGTGCTCTTTGCTCTTCAGCCTACTGTTCAACTCTTGGTCATCAGCGTATCTTGCTAAATTGGAGCCACCAGCTTTTTTTAACTGTTTTCTATTCGCTTCCAAATCTAATAGTTGAACAAGACCCATATTACGTTTTTTATGTTCCAGACGCTTCCTTTCTTCCTCTTCAATTTGCCTTGTACGTGCCTCTTCTCTTCTTTTTTCCATATCTATCTTTCTACCACTTGCATCTCTATACACAGTTTGGGCATTTTTACCCAAATGCTGTGATGAATTATTCTCCAAGTACCTTAGCTCAGCTTCTTCTTTTTCTTTTATCTGTTTTGCCACTTCTTCTGCAGTTTGTAAACCAGATTTTGCACCTGACGACATCCTTTGTCCGTCATTATTAATAATTTCTTCATCTCTCTCTACTTCGGGCACAATCTCATCCGTACCAACAACTTTCCATCCTTTGTTTCTTTTGATCTGCTTTTCAGGAATTAGCTGAGTAGGTTGCTCAAAAGTAGGTTCATCTTTTAGTAACGGTTGTGTATTCTCTATTATGATATTAGAGTGGTTCTCTTTCTTTTCCTTTTTGGACTTCTTGGGTTTTTTTTTGTTGTCTGAAAGGTAATTTTTTGCCAAATAATCAGATAATGACATTTTTGAAGTTCAACAAGTATTAATATTCAAAGATTTGCAACGTTTCATTCAATTGAAATGTGTATAAAGTTTCCTCACAATCAATTTGTTTTTCTCGTAACCTGTCAAGAAGCCACGGGTCAGCACTTTCGTGGCGGTTGTGGGCACTGGTGCTTACAAGAAATTGTAAACAGATAGACGCGTACGAGTCTACAAGCTTCAGCTGGTTGCGAAAGCTGGTTAAGGGCATGTCTACTGAGAAGGAGAGCCTCACGCTGGTGCTAAAGAAAGCAGTTGCTTTGGCAGAGGGATTGGAACAGAAGTGTATGGTGTTTTTTGACTTTGTATCGCCATGATCCATGTTACTAACAACCAATAGCTGGTGTACGATCAAGTATCAATCAACAGGTAGCTGAGCAAATACGGGAGAATAAGAATCTAAAAGAGCAGCTAGCTGTGGAGAAGTCAAAGAATGAAGAACTAGTGAGAAGGTTGAAGCTTGAAGAAAGGAAAAACCAAGATTACAACAGATTGAATGTCAAGTATAACCAAACCATAAAGGAGAAAGAACAACTTGAAATAGAGCTAGAAAAACTAAAATATAAGAAACGCACACCATTATCACCGTCCAATAATGCAAATACAGACAACCCAGGGATACTCGGTATGCTGAAACAAACAACCAAACCAAAGCAGAGTACAAAAAAGCCTGAATCAATCTATATTGATAAAGAAAACCAACAACCTCTTCCAAAGAAACCCACTACTAATATTTCTTTTTCAAGTTCTCAAAATCAAGATCGCACGTATGAAAGCTCAGATCTAGCTCCCACCCAATTTACCATGGATGGTGATGAGCTCGAAACCCACAAACCTACATATCAAAAACCTCGTTACCAACATTATGAAACTTTTGACGCGAAAGACAACATACCTATTATGGAGGATTCAATTGACTTAAGGGTGCCAGCGATCGAAATACCACCATCATCACCAACTGTCAAGTCTGAAGCGGTTTCGCAAGACCTTGAAGAGGTTCACTCATCCCCAATAGTGACAAGAAATCCAATTAAAGTTAAAAAAGAAGAAACTGATTCGTTAGAAATAGTTGATTCACAAGATGGAAGTGATGATTTGAATGCCCATTTCCCAACACCAAAAACTGCCACTAAGTTTCAAACACCTTTCAACATACCCAAGAGTTTTGATATGAAGAAATCTTTACTACACACTCCAGATGATTTAACACCTATGAAGAAGACAAAGAAGTCTAAGACAATGAAATCCTCAATAACATCCTCATCAACAAAAAAATATGACTTTACAAATAATCCCAAGGAGAATAGAGAATGGATATATGAAGATTTTAAAATTGATCCATCCAAAAATGATAATTATGATTATGCATATGATGCAGTACTTCGAGGTGCAGAGAGAAGATGTCAACATGGAAAATCTTGTAAGAATTGTGAAAATTTTTATAAAATTGCTAAAGGTGATCAAATAAAACCAGGATTTGCTGGACTTCAATGGAATGCAGAATCTTCAAAATTAAATGGTAACCAAACCATTATTTCGAAAAGTTCAAGACATCGAACAATTTGGGATAGAGAAGCTTCACCACCAGGATTTGGTGATTTTGATTTCCCAAATACACAACAACAAAAAGAGAATAAAGAGAAAAGTTTAAAGATTAGAAGAAATAAGGCATATAAAAGATTGTTTTCAGCTTTGAATAATGGGAAATACTTGTTCAAAGATAACGCATACAACGAAGCATTGAAGAACAATGATTATTCAATAGATGAGTCAGTCTTTAACAAATACATAACGGATCCTTAAGGAATAACTAGTCTACAATTGCATTGCTATAGATTGAACAAAGTATAAATGTATTAATATATAATAATATTTAGATAAACTATATGTGAAAAAAAGGTTCATTAATATAAATAGTGTTTCTAGTTGTAATATAAAAGTATTAAATCACAAGTATCATTAAGTCATAAAATCATTATCACAGGATTGAATAAAAACATGTAAAGCAAACATAGAAAAAAAAAATAAAGTAACAAAAACATAAAAGCAATTGAGTAACAGAAACACTTATAGCACGCATCACAATCAATTATCACCCTTCTTCTTCAACTCTTCATAAAACTTTTTGTAAACATCAAAGTTGAAATCCTTAAAGTTATAATCCAAGTCAATAAATGTTTTGGAAATTTGACAACTCTTGTAATAATAATTCAAGTAATATCTTTTCTTCATATCTTCAGCAACTGAATCATTCAGAATCTTTGTAGTGTTTTTACCAATCTTGGTCAAATTAGCAGGTGATGAAGGTGTTGTTTCAATATTTGATAAACCAGAACCATGTAATGGGAATACAGACTGGAAAATTTCATAAGCAGCTAAAGTAAAACCAAATTGAGGTGAAGATCTTAAAACTCTTGCAGCACCACCTTTAAAGAATGATCTTGGTGATTCTTCTCTTAAAATAGTTTTGAAAGCATGGAAAATACCTTTATATTGAGTTTCACCTTGTTTAGCATCAACTTGTAGTCTTGTTTTGATAACATCACATGGAGTGGTTAAAAATGCTGCAGGCATACCAGCTAACCCACCACTAACTAACAATTCCCAAGTCTTTAATTTATTACGACATCTTTTATTGGAAGGATCATAATTGAAGATGTCCTTTTTGATATGAGCATAAGTTGGGAAATAAATAGCAGAAAATGGAACATCTCTTAATAAACAAGCTGAAGCACCTCTGTATAAACCAGGTAATCCCAATTGTCTGATAAGTTTACCAGCTGATAATCTATCAGCAACATTATAATCACCTTGAACTTGTAATCTAATCTTGACAATTTCCAAAGGATTTGTAAATACAACTTGGCAAGCACCAGCACAAGCACCGGATAAGACTTCTAAAGGCCATGAAATCTTTTTGGAAATTTTATCAGTGAAAAACGAACGGGCCAAATCATTAACAGTTAATTTGATAGCCTTTTCAGGTGCAACACCAATCAATTGGGGACCTAAACCTGAATACAACCCTCTAATACCTTCTTTTGATAAAACTTTTACAAAACAATCCAATGAATTTTTATAAATTAAAACTCTTTGAGCTTGCATTCTTGTTTTAATCAAATCAATTGGATAAACAATAGTTGCACCGATTGCACCAGCAACAGATCCCAATGAAAAATTATAAAGTGAATCGAAAACAGGATAGAAATAATAATTTGAATTGATTCTTGGTTTTGCAACTTCATTTTCATGTACAATATCATTTAAATAATTTGGATTTGTAATTTGCAGGAAATCTTGAATTGTTAATTGAGAACTAACAGCACCTGAATCTAAATAGTCAGCATTGTTTATTTCATTTGTGACATGATCATAATTCTGTTTAAAAGTTGCCAATTTATTTGATGACTCCACTGGATCCGATGGTTCATTAGCTGCTTGTTCAGCCATTTTTTGAGCAGCTTGATGGATTTCATTCAACATATTCTTCTTTTTAGCATCAATCAAGTTTGATTTATAATTAGCCACAATGGAAAATAACAAGTTGATTTGAGCAGGAGAAAATTGTGAAATATTGTTAACCTTGTTGTATTCAAAATTAATAAATGAAACAAAATCACTTTTAGTAATAGGTAAAGAAGTTGGACCTGGTGAATTGACTCTATAAATTTGATAATATTTCAGCAAGATTTGATTAATTAAATCGAAATTATTGAAAAGATAATGTAAATCTTTAACCACTGTGAAATTTATGGAGTTATTAGTTGATTTGATAAGCTTTTCATTTGAAAAATTCAAAGAGTCAAAAACTTGATTTGAAATCTTGTGACTGTATAAGGTTTCCAAAACATAAATCAATTGATTCTTGGAGATCTCCCTAGTATTGTTTAAAGAATTCCATATTGATAATTTTTCGAAAAAATTTGATAATTTCTCATTAGCTAAATCACTTTGTAAAATGGTAATGACAGAATTCAAATTAATGAAAACATCTCTGTTCTTAACCTCATTATGTACATCACAAATATCAGCATTTGACTTTAATGGTGATGATGTATACAAGCTTAACCAACTCAATTTATTCCAGTCAATATTTAACCCATTTGATTTCAAGAAATCATTTGATACAAATTCTTGGGCCTTATGAATAGTGGCCTTAAAATCTTCGAAATTCAATAATAATTCATCAAAACTTAAAAATTTATGGTTGTAATTAATAGCTTTATTTGTTGAATTTGAATCAAATTTTCTGAAAAATTCATAAAGAATGATATAGTTATAGTTTCTATTATTCAATAAATTGTTGAACTGAAACCAATCACTTATTGTCATATAACCTTTATTTTTTTCATCCATGGCTAGGAAAATGACACCAAATGTTTGATGAGGAATTTGATGATAATTATAATGATGATCTGTGAATTTGTTGTATAACTTGGTTGAAGATGAAATTAACTTGATAAAAGAATCATAATCAAGAATATGTTGTTTACGATCTTCATCGTATTTAGCATACTTTCTAAAGATTTCAATTTGTTGTTTCTTTGATTCTGATATTGAGTTCGGTAGTTCCATTTTGATAAATATAAGTTGTTAATAAGCTTTAGCAGAATGACTGATTGATATGTATCTGGTTTAAATAATAAGCAGCTAAGGAAAAATCAAATCTATAGTCTTTGAATAAATGAAACAATTGAACAGTGAAAATTTCAACACAAAATCACACTAGCAGTTAATAATGAATGTAGAAGATTTGAAATGATCTTTTATAGTGTATATGATGAAAGGTTTGTTTATGCAAAAAAAAGTGAAAAAACTTTGGTGATAAAACTATAGATCCATGCTAAGGTGAACTTCAGAATGGACTATGATGTATGTATGACCTTGGTGGACAGCTGATGACCTAACGATCTATAGGAATAAATGAGTATGGGATATTTTGTTTTGATGGACGGAACCAGTAAGCTTATATATGGGAGAATAAAAATGAAGGTGTTGAATCTTGATACGTGGACTGTTTTTTTTATAGGTACAGGATGAACTAATGAGTGCCTCTTCTTAAAATATTCCTGCAAACTGTTGAATTAAATTTCCCCAGCTTTTTTTTTCAGTTTTTCTTCCACAAAAGAATCTTCTGTCGGCTAAAAACAAAACTTTCGGTGAGTGGAAAACCGGAAGGCGACAAATATTCGACCAAGAGCTTTTTTGACTTGGAAGCGATGAGATGAGATTGAAGTGGTAATGAGCTAAGAACTGGTGATTGTAATAATAGAATCTATCTGTTCTTTGTTTGTATTTGGTTTAGTTCTTTGATAATGTGTCTTCTTCTCTTTCTGGAGGTTAAGCGCCCTGTTGAATGTTGTGAAATTAAGCTGAATCGGAGCCTTTAATTGTGGGTCCAGCCAATGACAAAGTGAGAATAGGTGCTGACGAATATGGGGATGATTCTCAAATGGGAAGTGTGTAATTGATTTATTCAAATATGAATCTTTACTAAACTTGTTGATGGCTAAAGATAAACTGGATTTGGCACTTGCTCTTTAAATTTATACAAATTGTGACTTTTCTTGTCTTGGAATTGAGCTTATACCGTGCAATTCCAGATCCGACTGGTTAAGAGGCCATGGTCTCCTCGGAATATACCCTTTTAAGTGACACTTTAACCCTCTCCTCACAAACTACCGCATTTGGGTCTGACAGTCCGGGTTCATACGACGATGGAGAGATCTGTAAAGGGTATAGAGCTCATTAAAAGGTGTTTTCAGCTATTGATCAGTTGATCTAATTAGGTTCTGCTAAGCGACTGGGTGGAGGTGGTCTAATTATATCTACAACTATAATCATAATGATCATCTATCATTTATCTATTATATCTACTTTCTCAAGTATCTAACCTTCAACTCAAATATACCATAGGCCACCAATCTATATACAACAACTATGATGGCAACTGCAACAAAATTCATGGCAAAATTACTATTCAACTTGTACTGATCCATAACTGCTTCCCCTGTATTCAAAAGACAACTTGAATCACCACCTGAACATTCAAACGTTTGTCCATCAAATCCTAACTCTGCTAATGCTAAAACTCCATATTTCAAAGGACTTATATAGTTAAAAGCCTTAAACAAAATTGGCATATGTAACGACATTGTACCACCCATGAAAATGGCAATCACTAATAAATTTGCAACGAAATTAACTGCAATTCCAAGATGATCAAAGATAGTGGTAAACATCATACCAACACTTTCACCAGCATTAATTGTAACAACACACATATAAAACATTGTGAAAAACATCCCTCCATTTCTTGGTAATCCAACAACTAAAACAATGAAAATTGAAAAAATAAAAGATCCAACAATTTCAAATGGTACTTCATTAATCAAATAACACAACATAAATGTAATTGGTGAATATGTATTATCTTCAAATTCTTGATAAAATGTATTCTTTTCAATTGGGAAAGCTGTAACATTATTGATTAATCCACAAAAATATAAATTTAAAACTTCTTGAATCAAACCTAATCTGTTTCCAATAGATTCTGAATTATTCTTCAATGGTGAAAAATATAAGGCATGCACTATAGATAACCCAAGCAATTGTCCAATACGACAAAATAAAACATCCGGAGATCTCATCAACACTTTAAACTGTCTTTCTAAAATTGGACGAAATGCATTCTTAAAACTTTGTGGTCTTTTAATCAATTTTTTGAAATCTTCAATTTGATAATTTGGAGTCTCCACTATAGGTGAATAACTTAAATCACGAGTTTTAAAACTTCTCCAACCTTCAACCATCTTTTGTGTAATATCTTCTCCACCAAATCCTTTACCTGAAATAACATCCAAAATATAATCTGCAAAATTCATATTATATTCAGGTTTGAACCCCATTTCCGCAAAATGTTCAATTAATCCATTTGGTTTACCATCATAAATAACATATCCATCTGATAACAATAAAATATTGTCAAATTTTTCAAAAATTTCAATTTTTGGTTGATGAATTGTTAAAATAATTGTCTTTTGTTCATTAATTGCCAATTCATTTAATAAAGAAATTATTGAACTTGAAGTAAACGAATCTAACCCGGAGGTTGGTTCATCTAATAATAAAATCTTGGAATCGTTTAATAATTGAATCGCAATTGAAACTCTTCTTTTTTCACCACCGGAAATACCTTTAACATTACCATCACCAATTGGAATATTGGCAACATCACTTAATCCCATCTTTCTAATCAAATCATTAACAATAATTGGAATATAATCATGTTGTGAAACATCTAATCTTAATTTAGCTTGATACCATAAAGTCTCACGAACTGTTAAGGTTGGAATTAAAACATTATCATCTTGAACAACATATGTAGTGATCTTTTTCAACAAATCAAATGGAATTGTTTGTCCATTTAATAAAACATCACCTTGTGCACTTATTGTACTATAACGAGTTCTTCCCGTGAGGAAATTCAATAATGTTGTTTTACCAGAACCTGAAGGACCCATGATTGCATTAACACCTGGTTTGAAACTTGATTCAATTTTTTTCAACAATTGTTTCCCATTATAAGGTTTTCGCAAAATTGAATTCCTCCAAAATGATTTCTTCAAAGTTAATGAAATATCTTTTAATGAAATTATAACATCTTGTTGGAAATGTGTTGAGTTGAATTTTTTCATAAATTTTTGTGCATCAATTTCTGTAATTTTTGAAGATAATAAATCAATTTTTTTATTATTAATTGGTTTAACAACTTTAACTGTTTTCCTTTTACATTGATACCACAATAATACACCAGTAATAATGTAAAAACCTAACCCCCAACAAAGATTAACACATAATGGTACTGCAAACCAGTTTTTTGGATACCCCAGATTATCTAAAACATATTCACCGGTATATTCATAACATTCACTAGAGCCAGTTTCAAAAGGACAATCACCAATAAAACCAGTGTATTGGTTTGAAACTAAACTTCCAAATCCATACCAAAAGTTTGCCAAATATTTCGTCCATCTAACATAAACTGGCATGGTTTTAGCATTAATAAAATAACCACAAGCTGAATTTTGTAATTGATAAAATAAATTTGACATTAAACTTGCAGTTCCAAAATCATATTTACCCATCATAAAACAAAGAAATGCAGTAGCCATCCCCACGGTATAAATTAAAAAATTATTAATGAAATAAATACCAAAATTACTTGATCCATTCAACCCCCACATATAAAATGTAATAACTGACCAAACAATAGTAATTGGAACATCTTCTAATGCTAATTTAACCAATTTTCTAGCAATTAAAAATCCACTAATTGAATAAATCCCCTCTTTATACTCTTTAACAAAAAATTTACCATCAGTGGCACATAATCTTTCAATTTCATATAATAAAGGTGTAAAACCTAAAACTTCACAACAAACATATAAAGTTGAAGTTATTGAACGGATACCTGCTAAATCACCTTTTGGTTTATAAAAACACCATCCACAAACAATTGCCAAAAATGTCATAATGAAATGGAATGTAAACATACTTTTCAAATCTCTAATTGTTACAATTGTACATCTATGCATTAATACCCAAATTTCACGGTAAAATGGTAATTTATGTGTTTTATTTTGATTGAAAATTGGTGCTCCTGATTCAAAAGAGTTGTAGTATTCAACATCTTGTTGTAATGGTTGAACTTTTGCCCAATTTGTCACCAATTTATCAACACGAGCTTGAGTTTTCAATTCAACTTCTTTTGACATTGTTTTATCAATTGAAGAAATTGATAATAAGAAATCAGCGAAATTCGACTCTTCTTGAACATCATCACCATCATTTAACTCTAATTGATCAAAATATTTATAACCATCTTCAAGAGAACCAGTAAATAACATTGACCCACCTTTGGCTAATAAACAAATCTTGTCCACAATTTCTAAAATTTCAAATCTTGGTTGATGGATTGTTAAAATTATTGTAATACCAAAATTTTGTGCCAAATCTTTAACAGTTTGAACTAAATTAATTGAAGTGTTTGAATCTAACCCAGTTGTAGGTTCATCTAAGAATAATACAGAAGGTTTTGTTAATAATTGGATAGCTAATGACACTCTTCTTCTTTCACCACCACTTAAAGTTGTATGATATTTGAAATCATTCACTATTGTGTTTTCAACTTTTCTTAAATTTAATGAATCAAAAAGATAATCAATCAATTTTGTTTGTTCAGCATTTGATGAATTTGGTAATTTTAATTGTGCAGTAAATTTTAAAATCTCTCGAACTGTCAACCCAGGCATGAAAAGATCCTCTTGTAAAAGGTATGAAATATTTGGATTTGTTTGAGAATATTGAACCATACCTTCGAATTGGAAAGGATTATCTTTAGATTTAGCAAAACTCATTCTTGATGATAAAGTGTTCAACAAAGTGGTCTTACCAGACCCTGAAGCCCCTAAAATAGCTAAAACTTTACCCTTTTCCAAGTCAAGATTGATATTATTCAAGATTTTTTTAACTTCGGCAACAGATTCAACATCATTCTCTATCTTCTCCTTGAACTGCTTCTTCTTCTTCTCTTTAGCCAATCTTGATTTGTTCAAGTTCACAGTCAAGCCCCTAACATGAAGGTCAACCCTTTCCGCTTCAGGAACGAACAAGTCGTTATAATGTGTAGATGTTATCACGTCTGTATTCATTGTAATAAGCCGCTATGATTTCACACCAAATATATCTAAACGAATAATGGAATCCACACTATAACCACACCAATTACCAGCAAAAACCCAGCAACACTTTTCTAAAAACAAGCAGCACTTTCCTGACAGGTCAACTGTTCATTTGAGGTCCACAAGGAAACAATCAAAGGGTATTTATATCAAGACACACTCAATTTCACCAACGCACCCTGCTTAAAATCTTTTTCTTTTAGCCACATACGAATGGTTTTTTTGCCAAAAGTCTTAGTACTGCTGCGCATACCATAAATTAGCCCAATGCGGAAGGTGCAAGACGATTGGCAACCAAATTCGCGAATAATTTCGTAATTATTATTGAACAGACAAACTTTGGCAGAGCTTACAATTTATACAATTAAATTAACAATTAGTCATTAAATTTTATAAATTCATTCCGTTGCCGTCTTGTACATATCATCACAGCGTACCTTATCACTTCCAAAGCTTCTACGACGACAATTCTCAATCAATCTGGAGAATTCATTACCAACTTCCCAATAACACTCTTCAAATCTTGTGGAAATCATACCCAATAATCCAGTCATAAAATGCTTATTCTCCACAGATTCTAAATGAAATGCATACTGTAAAACCGTGTTGTGGAAAGTGACACTATCAATCGGTTTCAATGTATGAAGCATTCTTCCTGTTAATCTTGATAAATCATTTCTAACCCTTCTTAAGTAGTTATAGCCATCTTCAATTGAGTACAAGTTCTTTGTTGAAACCAATTCTGTTGAGCCACTTAATGGAGTAGATTCTGGTCCCTTCAATACAAAGTTATATGACCATGTTAGTAGTGTGACCAGTGCTAAGACGTTCAATCTGTTTAGAACCGCATCCGAGTCTGAATCATAAGGTAAATTCAATTGATCAACAGAATCTTGTGGAGTTAAAAACATTTCAAATAGGAACAAATATGCATAAACAACTGAAACTCTCCCATTTGGTGAATTTGCCCATTCGCGAACTTTTTTACCAACTAGTTCATAATCTGAAGCTTCAGCTTGAACATTCATTCTCCATGGTGCCCCTGCAAAGATATAATAATCATAATGTTGAATTCTTAGCGTGATTTGAGCCATATGATACACTGGTAATTTGCATCTTGTATCTGATTGAGATAATGAAAATGGTCTCAGGGTCTTTAAGGATTCATTCTTCAATAAATAACTGCTTTCTGAATTGCAACAACTTTTCATAATATCACAATTCCAATAATCAAATGCCAAACTTAAAGTATCCTTCCATGTATCTCTCAATTGTTCAAATTCTAAAATGGACCCTTGTAAATCACGTTGTTGCATCTGAAACATGATTGATAATAATCCAGCTAACAATATTTTCTTACCAAAAATACCAGTATTGACATGTTCTCTATTCAATATTTTCTTTAACCCCACCAAAAATGGCATTGAATCATTCCTATTAGGAATTTCCTTTGGTGTTAAATAACTTTCCCATAAATCATCATCACAAGGTAAATTTAGTTGAATATGATTTGAGAATAACATCAATTGATAACCGAAAACCATCGAATGAGTTGAATCAATATAAAATGCAAACAATGCAGCTCTTTTAACACTTTCAAATTCAATCCATTTTTCCCAAATAGTGGCATTATGACGTCTATTATATTCAGTTTTATTCTTTAATGGATTCCCACCTAGTCCTGGACTTCTTCTTAACAATTGAATTGTGGTACCATGATGTAAAAAGGCACGTTCATGTAATTTTCTATTTGTAGCAAATCTTTCATAGCACTCCAATAATAATAAACTTTGGATGATATAAACTTGAGAAGGTGGATGAAACTCCTCACAACTGAAAATAATTAATCTTAAAGGATCTGCAATTAAATCTGCAAATTCTCTTGGATTTTTATCATTTTTGAAAAAATTATTTGGTTCACATTTAGCATAACTTGCACCTGTCATAATCATACTCAGTAATAATATTGGATGGCAAGTAAAAGTATTAAATGAAGGTTTATGTAAAATTGGATATTGAACATGGAAACAAGTCCAATAAAGATCCAAAAATGTTTCCAAATGATTAAAATATTCATGATTTGCAATAGCTGGAACTAGGTTGATTAAAATTTGTCTAATTTCTGGTGTTATCAAAGTTTGTTGAGCAGGATTTGGGAAATTTGGTGGGATCTGTAAAATATCATCAAGTAAGTTTGAAGATAATCCAAATGGATCATCATTTGGATTGAAAAAATTACCACCACTGAAATTTGGTCCTGTATCTAAATGTCCCATATCTGCTTGATTTTCATCAAATAACCAACTAATCAAATTTGATGGACTTGCTGCATTGTTTGAATTTTCTGGATCTTGAGGATTTGTTGTTGGATTATGAATTGGATGAGACCCTAGAGTTTTGGTGTTGTTATTGTTATTATTAGACCTATGATGTTTTTCTGTGAGTAATGTTGTTTCACCTTGAACTATTGAACCTTGTCGTAGAGCATCTAATTCGTCATTTGCAGCACTTAAATGAGCATCATTCCCATAATTATGGATATCAACACTGGTCTGATCTTCAATATTTGGTAAGATTATAGAATCTAATGAATTGATTGGTACTTTCTTACTCTCTTCAACTGGATCCACTGGTTCAACTTTCTTTTTTTCCTTGTATACTGTCTTTTTTCATCAATCTTATTATTATTAACAGCTTTCAATTTGGCTTCATCCTTCATTTTACGAATTTCATGTCTTTTAACATGTCTTTCTAATAAATCCTTCCGTACAAATGATTTAAGACAGTTTTCCCATGGACAATTATAAATAACAGTGGGATTATGGTTTAATTTATGTCTTGCTAAATGTTCAGCTCTTGAAAAAACCTTTTCACAACCATTAAAATCGCATCTGTAATTCCCTGGTGGTCGTTTCTTTCTTTTCCTTTTGTTTCCATCACCATCGTATTCATCTTCATCATTACTATTGTTGTTATTGTTGATATCCTTCACATCACCGGAAGGCGAGACTTCGTCAAGCGACGTCTGTAGACCTTCGTTGAACTGACCAGAAGGACTAACTGAAGGGCTATTTGAATCCATTTTCATTGGAGTCATCATTTGAATAGTGTGTTGGTATTGAACAAGTATTATAAAATCAATAAACTTTTGGAGAAGAAGCACTGACTAAGCCGTTCTTGATCTTTTCTCAAATAAATAGCAGCAAAATGAATAAATAGATAAAGCTCTGTTCCTCTTTGGATAATATGAGTGGCCAGTGACCAGCAAAATAGTTGGGATTCAGAGCTCAAGAGAACTGCTTACAATAATCTTGTTTTAGACCTCACGAAAACCTGGAGTTCAACTGACTCGTTTTTAAGCGGTTGATTTTTTTTTCGAGAATTCGGCAACCGGATTTGATTAAGCATAGAAGAGTAAAATAAAGTGCTAGAATATTCATGAATTTGTTAGTGGAAATGGTGATGTAAGGAATAATATGGGTTTATTATAGTGATAGAATTGAATAGAACCATCTCTTGTTCACTGCCCTTTTTTTCCGTTTGCAATAGGCTTTCCTCCTCGGTAAGATGATGTCTACAACTAAAGCCATACTAGTAAACCCAATTCATTAAAACAAAAACCACTCAGAATAGAAAACCAAAAGTACTATACAAATCAGATAAAAAGGATAATAAAAAATAAACCATATTTGTGATGAATAATGCAAAATGAAATAACTATCTCTACTAAACCAACAAAACAGCATTGACACAACCATCTCTATCAGGTTCATTTGTGATTTGTGCATATTTACCCCAAACAACTTTACCACCAGCAGTAACCAATCCCATTTCACTAACATTCACTTCAATTATGGTACCTTTAGTCAACACACCCAATTGTGTATACATTGGACTTTGAGGATTCTTTTTAACACCCAAAATTGGTAAAAACACAGTGACAGCTAATTCTGGATGTGTAACATTTGCCTTTTTCTGTCTAAGAGCTGAAGGTCTGATGATTCTTTCCATTTTAACAGGTCTTCTTGTGAAACCTTCACCAACAAATGTATGTTTTGTAATCATTCTCTTCCATGCCTTAGATTTAGATTTACCAGTCTTGATAACTTTAAACATTTCTTCTTCACTAATACCACGAACTTTTGGTAATGGGACTGAGAATTTATCAGCTTTTTCCATTCTTTTTTGTTTAATTGATGAAGAAATGGCTTTAGCAGTATTTGTTTGTTGACGATCTAATAAATAAGTTGGTAAAGCTTCACCATCATCTTCAACAGGTTTAGTTGGACCTTTGATTTTACTCTCTTCATGAGCTTTAATCTTCTTCTTCATAGCAACTTTTTCAGCATAACGTTTCTTAGCAAATTGTTTACCTCTCCAACCCTTCAAATTTTGTGCATCTTTAGAAACTCTGTGACCTTCTCTTGCAAGTCTCTTACGTTTTCTTTCTTCATGATCTAAACGACGACCATGTTGCTTTATATGTTGTTCAATATATTCGTTTTGAGGCATCTTGTCAATGGGATCTGAGCCTTTTCTTAATGATAAAAAAGCCTATCCAAGTATAAAGTTGAAAGAGTTTTTAACAAAAATGTTTATTCTTTTCTTAAAAAGAAATCCCATACAAAAAAAAAAAATTTTATGCTGGTTTCTCAGGGTAACTCTGGAGATGAGGTGGTAGGGGAAGCATAATTAATCTAATTTTGGTGATAAGTGGGTAAATTATATAAGAGAATGTATTTGAAAATTTGTAGATAGATCTCATTATACTATAATAATATACCTGTAAATTTGCAAATAAATCCATCAAATATCCATCTCTTTGCACCGAAGTGTATTGTTTAGATAGCTTCGCGAATTGTATCTGGTTGGCACCACACCAGCCAAAGGGTAGGAAAAAAAATTCTTTTATATGAGCTCAATCAAATGGTTTTATCAGCTGAATATCTTGATACAAGCTAGTTGGAATACTATTATGAGTCAGTCATTAGATGAAATATTGAAAGGTATCAACGCCTCTCTACAGGCTACAGATGCTGCTGTTACTGGTTTACACTCTAGAGTTGAATCTCCAGAATTACCTGTATTAGTTACAGATTTATTATCCAAAACCAATCAACCAATACCTGAAGGTGTTTCATTATTGGATTTGAAAAACAATGCTATTCTATCATATTTAAACAATCTAGCTCTTATAATACTGGCAAGAGTCGAAAGTCTAAAGACAAATAATACTAAAGAAATTGATGAACAAAAATTAAAAGCTGTTAAAGGTTCAATAACTCAAAGAGTTGTTTTAGAAAGAGGTATCAAAAATTTAGAGAAAAAATTATCATATCAATTGGAAAAAATGATTAGAAATTATAACAAGATGGAAAAAGATTCAAGTGAACAAGCTGTTAATAAAAAATTACAAGATCAAGAAAATCAAGATGATGAAGATGAAAGTGAGGATGCAGATGATAGTGAGGAGGAAAGCGACTCAGAAGATGAATTAAACTATAAACCTGATGCATCAGCATTAGTGAAATCATTACAAAAAGATAAGAAAGCTAAAGATTCTTCTAAGAGTGGTGAAAAAGTTGAGAAATATAAACCACCTAAAATCGCTGCTACATTACCTCCACAAGAATTCAAAGATAGTGGTAAAAGAACCAAAAATGGTAGTAACAAGATGCAATCTATGGAGGAATATTTGATGGAATCTGGTGATGCTCCAATGGTTGAAAATTCTATTGGTTCTACAATCTTGAATCATGGTAGAGGTGGTGTTAAAACTACAAAAGATCGTGAAAGAGAAGCTGAGATTCAAAGATATGAAGAATCTAATTTCACAAGATTGCCAACATCGATGTCCAAAAAGGATAAAAGACAAAAAAGAAAACAAGAATCTGATACATTCTTTGGTGAAGATTGGGGGATTTTCAGAAATGATAAAAATGATTTAAATACTTCAAGAAAGGCAAAACCAAAATCTGCATGGGATAGAGCTAAAAAGAGAAGAACTGATTAAGACTTGTATAGTTCTAACTTAATTTTTAGTATCATTTATGTTTTAAATACCTGTATCTGCATAAACTCTGATAACATCCTTACACCTAGGGGAAAACGTCCACAAAATCTTTGAGACAATCGCATGTTCTTTGATTCAACTTCAACGATCTTTTAGTTCACCTCGTTCTTAATTGTAGTATGTTCAAAAGGTCATTGACTACAATCGCAAAGATGTCTCAACCTGTGAAGCTCCATTGTTTGGCTGATGTTTGTATTATTCCAGTGAGTATTTAGAGATTAATGATTTTGCCAATAATATGGATCAACAAGATTAACAAATTTGAATAGATTGGTACTGGTTCGGCCTCAGTATCAGATGAAGTTGCTAAAGTCCAATTATATCTAGAAAAAAGTGGTATTAAACACACTCTACATTCAGCAGGAAGCACATTAGAAGGTGAATGGTCTGAATGTTGCAATGTTATTGGTCAGCTTCATGAAATGTTACACAAAGAGGGTGTATTAAGAGTACAAAGTGATATAAGAATCGGAACTAGAACTGATAAATCTCAAACTGCTCAAGATAAGATTGATATCGTTCAAGAAAAGATGAAGAAAGGGTTTAACTAGAATGGATTTAATACTTTATACCAAGTTGATCATTTTTTTACTCAACTAAGCCCTTTTCCACTATCATTTTGGACAAAAAGCTGTAGAGATGATAAAAGTACCTATAAAACTTCATTTTGACCTCTATTATCAAGCTTTCACATACAATTTTATCCAATTAATGTTGGACTATCTTTATTATGCTTTGTAATCTATTACATAATAATATCCGTTATTTTTTTTTTTTGAAGATAAACTGGAAGTTTACAAAACGTATGTGAGAAAATGAATGAGCTGAGGTTTACCATTTGAACAGGATTAACTTCAATTAGGCCATTCACACACTATCATACTCAACCAATATTGCTCTATCCCAACTCAACCAATTTGCTAGCTCTGCCTTAATTGTTAATTTTGCTGATTTCCCCCATTCATTTGGCTGGTCATAGTCTGATTATTTCCACAGTTACGTCCAAATCCACAAAATAGAGGACTGAGCATATTACAAACAACAACAACCACAACAGATCAGGAAACTATACATATCAGCTCCTCAAAGGTAAAATGTCCAATAGGGATAATAGAAGTTTCACTACTCCTAGTTCACCTTCGAGGTCCACTACAAATTTGAATCCTCCTCCTATAATTCAACAATCTCCAAGGAGGAAAAAAGTCATTTATAGTGATAGATACATTCCAAATAGAACAGGTGTTGACCTTCAGGCTGCTTTCTCATTGAGTAATGAAGAACTAGGTACAAGAAGACCGAATACAACAGGAAGTGCAAATGATCTTGAATATAGAAAAGAAGAGGAAGCTAATAGAACTTTTAATACCGTGCTCAAGAATGAACTATTTGGAGATAATGTCCCTTTCTCATCACCAAGCTCATCATCAAGACAAAAACAATCAGAACAGTCATCAAATTCAAGTACCCAAATAACTCCACCAAGATCTTCAAATGAAAACTCCAACTCATCAACTTCAAATATTCAAAAAACTCCAAGACAATCAACAAATCTATTTTCATATCAATCACCAAACAAGAGTAGGCCAACCTCAACATCAATTGAAAATGATTTGTACTCTTTATCACCAGTGAGAATAGATTCTCAAAAATTATTATTATCACCAACAAAGAAACCAAGAGCAATTGCTAAAGTACCCTATAGAGTATTAGATGCTCCAGAATTAGTTGATGATTTCTATCTAAACTTATTAGACTGGGGGTCACAAGATATATTAGGTGTTGGATTAGGCTCATCAGTGTATCTTTGGAATGCTTCATCAGGTTCAGTGGATAAATTATGTGATTTAGGAAATCATGACAAAATTACAAGTTTATCATGGATAGGTGCTGGTACACATATCGCTGTTGGAACAAATACTGGTGCAGTACAGATCTGGGATGCTACAACTTCAAAATGTACAAGAACTATGACTGGTCATACTTCAAGAGCTTCATCATTAAGTTGGAATGAACATATACTAAGTTCAGGTTCAAGAGATCGAACAATATTACATAGAGATGTTAGACAAGCTGAACATTATATGAAGGTTATAAATTATCATAAACAAGAAGTTTGTGGATTGAAATGGAATGTTGAAGAAAATAAATTAGCCTCTGGAGGTAATGATAATAAATTGTATGTTTGGGATGGATTAAATGATACACCATTACATAAATTTGAACACAATGCAGCTATCAAAGCTCTTAGTTGGTCTCCACATCAAAGAGGTGTATTGGCAAGTGGTGGTGGTACTTCAGATCGTCGTATCAAGATATGGAATGTTTTAAATGGACAAAAATTGAGTGATATTGATACTGGTTCACAGGTTTGTAATTTATGCTGGTCAATTAATTCTGTTGAATTGGTATCTACCCATGGATATTCTAAAAATCAAGTCATGATTTGGAAATATCCTCAAATGTCACAAGTTGCTTCATTAACTGGTCATACTTATAGAGTTTTATATCTATCTTTAAGTCCAGATGGACAAACTGTTGTCACAGGATCTGGTGATGAAACCCTAAGATTTTGGAACGTTTTTGAAAAAAATAAAAATGATAGTGGTCCACAATCTGTTTTACTGGATGCTTTTATGCAATTAAGGTGAATTAAAGTACAATTATTAACTGACTACAAGAGGACATTATGGAATATAGGCGTTCGTGAATACATTTTTTAATACTATTACAAGGTCTGTTTTTTTTAAAATGTCCTGTATGAATATGATTTGTAGATTGATAATTTTGTCACTGTCAGAATTGACGACCCCGTTCCTGTGCATAATCAGTTGAATTACTGGTGTTTTGAGCGTATGTTTCTGGTGGTGGTGGCTTTCTAGATTGTTGTGCAGAATGAGGTAACACTGTGGGTATTTCCTGGCGTATGGCTGGTGAGCCTGGAGGCACTTGATGATGTTGAGGCCTGGTGAATGCTTGTTGAGGTTGTGTTATATTTTCTTGATGAGAACTTCTACCTTTATACTGAGTTCCTTGTGACGTTTGATTTGAATTGATTCGTTGATTCTGATAAGCTTGAAATGAGTGAGCACCTGAAAGATTATCAGGTGCATCTGTATTTACATTCATTTGATGTAATCTCTCCTCTTCCTTTGCGCGTTCTCTCTTGACAAGAAAAGTATGAACCATCGCAGCATTTCTTGTAGAACAACCATTCATCCAACTAAATAAACTCCCAATTATAGGGGGAAGTGATATTAATAAATCAAATCCAATGTTCCCATGCATCTTGGCAATTGTTGCTGGTGGTAAATGGAATTCTTGATCAGCTATTGAAACTAAACGTCCATGAATTGCAAACATTAATAATGGGCCAATCACTGGTACAAGAGTTAATAATGGGGCAAGACCTAACCCTAAATCAATAGGATAACAACCAAAGAAGTTTTTATCATCTAACCAAGCCCTTTTCTTGACTCTTTTCCAAGATTTTTGTTCTTGTTTTGAACAAGTTTCTGGAGCTTTTCTTCTCTTCTTCTTGCCATGGATTTCAACGTAAAATGGATCTAGGTATTAAAAGTCAGTGGTTTTGGTCAAGAAAGACATCACAGTTGTAATTTTAACTCACCTTTAGTTTGATACTTTTCCCCAGCCTTATCATTGATCCAATCAACGGCCATGTCATAGCCTGGTACACCTTCGAGTTTTTGAGCAAAGTTGTTTATAGCATCCATGACCAATTTTAGCTAACCCCCTGATAATGAAACTTGAGCCTGAGAATATAAAGGAAAGTTGTTATTGATATCTTACACCTTGGCTGAACACTTTCCTTAATGTATAAGCTGATATTGCTAAGACTATGATGATTGATGCTGAAAACTATTACAAATAAACTTGTTAAAAATCCGCTTGAGCCGTTGGGAGTGTTGAGCTCTAGCTATCAATTATACCAACAGCTAGACCTCAATGGCAAGAAGACGGCGAGTATTATTGTACTCGATTGCCTTGAGGATAAATCTTGATCCTTAGTATTGATCACGCTAAAGACATTAATTTGAGGTCCATTCGAGTTTTGTTTTAGAATTTGTACCAAGAAAACGCTTTATCGGCCGTGAAGCTTTGACACATTTTCTCGAAACCTCAAAAACATCGGCTACTTTGACAGCATTGGGTTAAAATAAGAGGTCAAACTATAATTCTGACAGCAGAAAGGATAGCCACTAGCCACTACTTTCAATATACACTCTTTACACTCAAATTCCACCAAATCCATCACTTCTTTCTCTCTTTTCGCTCTCTCATCTCAATTTTAATGTGTTCGCGAAACTCGCGAATGTGTTTTTTTTGGTTTTTGCTAGGAGGAAAAAAAACCACAAATTTAAGCAGGAACAACTCAGAAAATGAGCATTAAATACAACAAGTTTCAAGAATCAAAGGTATTGCGGTGCTGGAGCCTTATTTGATTATGAACACAGGCACAGGCAACAAGGAGCGCTCGCCACAAGACAATCAGCGCCCAGGTGCTACGGGAGGCCACAAGCGTAGCAGTGTGTTTGGCTCAAGTTCAAATATATTTGGTCACAAACCTTTAACGGCTTCTCAACCTTCAAAAACTACAAATGAAATCAAGAACAATGCACCTTCAATTCAAAGTCGTGAGAAACCTAGTTCAGAGGATGCTAAGGAGAAATCTGATTCAAAAGAAGCTGAGCATATCATCACAGATTCAAGTAACAATAAAGATACCAAAGAACCAAATGAGTCCACAAATACCACAACTGACCCAATAAAGTCTGAAGATAAACTTGTCAAAGAAGGTTCTGAGATTGAAGAACTAGCATCTGGTAAATCCAAACCTTCAACATCGTTTGCAAGTTATCTTTCGAATGTTAAGAAAAGAAAACAAGAAATTGAAGAGAAGAAAATCAAAGAATTGGAGGAAACCAAAGCAAATCCAACCACTTCGTCTAACGAAGATGTCACCATGACAGAAGACAGTGTCGCAGATGTTAATATAGAGGAAAATCAACAACCAGAAGCAAAGAGACAAGTGTCCACTGAAAGTACATCAACTGAAGTAAAGAGGGAAGATCCAACCATTCAAGAAACTCCTAAAGATAAAACCTCTGACGCTTCCAAGAGTCCAGTTTCAACTTTGTCTTCGGAATTGTCAATACTTCCTTCCTCATCGTCAGCAGACAAACAGGATGCATCACGTTCCTTCCATATCCCACCAAGAATTCCTGAAAGTGATTCAAATTCTGATGAAGGTGATATTACCAGAACACCAAGAAGAAAACAAAATACTCCAGGAGGCGAGCTTAGTGTTGCTGAAGATTCAGATGCTGAAACTGTCCATGGTGACTCTCCTCCAAAACCGAGAAGAGGTAGATTAGTTAGAAAATCTGAAATGGGATCAGATGTTTCTGACAAGAAAACGGCATTAGAAGGCAATCATCAAGATTTGGACTCCTCATCATATCACAAAAAGTTAATATTGGGAAAGTTGGAAAGAAGAAGTCAGTCTAAATCAGTTTCACCTCAAAGACATAGTTCAACAGCAAAGAGATCCAAAGGAAAAGATCAAAGTGGACGAGCAAAATTACAAAGAGCCTGTGATAAAGGAAAGTTAGAAGAGGCTAAAAGATTACTTGAAGAAGGTGCTGAAGTTAATGATCAAGATAATGCTGGTAATTCTGCATTACACGATGCTGCATTGAATGGACATACTAAAATCGTGGAATTACTACTGCAACATAATGCTCATATTAATCTTAGATCGGGCCCTGAAGTCCTTGATACTCCATTAATTGATGCTGCTGCTAATGGACATATTTCTACAGTGAAAATGCTTTTGAAATATGGGGCAGACCCAAGGATTCAAAATAGCCATGGACAGAATGCTCTTGACTCTCTTGAAGATTCACATCCAAATACCCCTGAATTGAAAGTGATATTGAGGGAAGCAACATTGGCATTGAAGTCAAAACAAATTGATGTATCAGGAACAGCATCTGATTTGGGAGATTCGAGTTATGATGAAGATCGTTCAAATTCGCATTCTAGAAACAATCCCAGATCTCGTAAAAGAGGTCCTAGAAATGATCTGCTACTTGTCGATTTTACCACAAAAGAGGGTAGAGAAGCGGTTTTTTCAAAAGCTAGTGATGGTGATGTTCAATTCGTTGGTACATATCTTGAAAATGGTGGTCCTCCTGACTCTGAAGCATTAGCTCTCGCTGCTAAATTTGGTCATACTGAAGTTGTCAATTTATTTCTTGCATTTGGTGCAAAAATTGATGTTACCGATGAAAAAGGTTTAACTCCTTTGATGCAAACCGTTGGACGTGGTCATATTGACACTGTGAAGTTATTGTTACAAGCTGGTGCTGATCCGGCAAAGCTTTCAAGAGATAATAAAAGTGTGCTGGAAATAGCTAAAGATTCTTTAATATCTGATGAAGAGGAAATCAGATTGTTGACTGATGCTTTAAACAAGGTTTCAAATCAATCAAATCCAGGTGCTAAAAGCTCTAATGATACTAAAGTTAAGAAAAGAAAAATTAGCTTGAAAGATGAACAACAAGATACACATGAACTGAAAAAGAAAAAACATCACAGTAATCAAAAGCAACAACATGAACGCTCATCTGCTCCTGCAACTGAAACAATGAAGGAAAGGGATCATAAAGTGGAAAAATCAAGATCTCATGAAGTTATCAAACCAAAACCTGTTGAATCTAAATTTTCGGGTCCAAAATCAGAATCTATGAAAAGAACACATAGCAGTGATGCAAAAGATCATGTCAAAGTCCAAAAAATTGACCAACCTGTGGAATCTTATGAAGAAAAACAAGCTAGATTGATCAAAGAAAAAGAAGAATTGAGAAAGGTTGAGGAAGCTAATGAATTGAGAGCTGCTAAAGAGAAAGAGGATGCTAAGAAGAGAGATGAAAAAGAAAAAGAAGAAGCTCAAAAACGTAAATTAAAAGAAATAGAAGATGCAAAGAAGCGTTTAGAAAGAGAGAGGGAAGAATCAAAGAAACGTGAAGAATTTGAAGCTATTAGAGCAGCTAAGCGTAAAGCTAGAGAACAACAATTCCTGAATGATTTTGAAACTGCTGAGAAAAAGAAGGAAGAAGAGTTGAAGAAACTTGCTGAGTTGCAAGCAGAGCGTAAATTGAAAGAAGCTCAAGAAAATGAAGCTAGAGCCAAGATGGAGGAAGAGAAAAAACAAATCATGTCCCAAAAGGAGGAGATTGAAAGACGTCGCAATATTAGAAGTCAATATCCTTATGGTTTACAAAAGGCAACATTTGATGGTAGCAGAACAAAAGAAGAAGTTTTGGCTTATTTACCACTTTACCATTTTGAAAAAGATGGGGTTCAATATTGTGCTGACTTACAGGTTATAATGATCTTAGGTATTGAAAAATTTTATGACAAATATCAAGAGTTGTCAAATAACAAAAAATCAATCGAAGAAAAAGAAAAGACACCATTATTTAATTATTTTTATCCATTTTTAGGAAACTTCAGTTTCAGATCAACTTCAAAGCAAATGGAAAATTTCAATGAAGAGTTACAAAAATTTACAAAGTTGAACATCAATTGGATCAATTATGAAGACGTTTTGAAAATTATCAAACAAGATTTTGAACCCATTTATGATGTTGTTATTACAAGAACTCTGGCAATTGATTTGAATCATGGTCAAGATTCAACAGCTGCGGTGACTTCCAACTCTACAGGATTTATCACTCCAAAAGTTGAATCGGAACCTGTTTCAAGAAAAGTTTCATCAAGTTACCCATCAATTACTAAGAGATTGCCTTTATTATTGAGAAATAGACCTGCTGTTCTAAAAGCACTTTCAAAGAATAAGAAGCTGTGGTGATTATGTCTGATATTTTGTTTGTTTTTCTGTTTGATGTTTGTATTGATTAAGGTTTGGGTTTTGTTTATTGAAATAGGCGTTGTGTTTTTCTTGGTTATTAATGAACAGTAATGTGTATTATATTCTTTCAAACCTACTGTAGATGTTTTATCTAATTCTCTCCAGTGTGGAAACTGAATTCAACATCATTCTAACTTCTATACCATCTTTTGATATACTTGCATCACTTTGTGTAACTTTTTTAATAATTGAAGCTCTTATTTGTTCTTTATAACTTGATAAAGATTTAGCAACAGGGCCACCTCTATTCATAGTTTCTTTAAATTTCAATTCAAATTTCTTAGCAACATCTCTCCAAAATACAGATAAAAGATTGACAATTTCTAAAGAGTCTAATAAATCATTTAATAAACTTTTTTTGGAAACATTGTTTTGAGAACTTGTTGATAACGATTCAACATCTGTTATAGAGTTTAAATCTATTTGATCTAATATTTTTGAAATTTTACTTATTAACGTACCTTTTTTAGCCACTTCATCTAATGCATTTTCTAAATTTCTTGGTGAGTTTAATACTCTAGTTAGGAAATTCACAGATATTATAACGTTTGTAGATAGTAATTCACGGATTGAATTGTATAATTCTGATTTATCTAGTAGAGCTAATGATTGGAAAATTTCCTTTAGTTCGATATCCGATTTTGATTTGATTGAACGTTCATCAATTGATTTGATTGAGTTTTTCAATAATTGTAGTAAAGATCTTGTTCTTTCAATTGCTATTGGTTCGTATTCCCTAACTATTCTGAGACTTTTGAGGTTTGGGTTTTTGGAAATGTGGGTATTTAATTGTTGATGATATTTTGATAATTTTACCAGTAGTTTAGTGTTGATTTTAGAATTATTTGGTATGGTGTTGGAAATCTCCTCTGAATTTGAAAAATCTTCAATTTGTTGCACCAAATATAAGAAATACGTCACAGATCTAAGTAAATAAGAGGTTGAGTGTAATTTTTTCAAGGCATCTTGGATCTTTGTTGCTTCTTTATATGGATCAATAATATCTTTCTCTAATCTTTGATATGAAGAGTTGACATGATCTAATTGTGGTGTGATTTGTTGGAATAGTTCTTTTGATGTGATACTCTTGTGGATTTCTTTGATTAAATTGTCATGATCATCAGTGCTAATTTTTTCCAAGTTTAGATCAATGTTATTAATATCAAATTTTACTCTCTTGATTGAAGTTGAAAGATCTAATTCATTTTGGGATGAATTTGTAGCCAACAACAAGTCATTTGCAAATGAAATTGGATTGAAGTCAGGTTCAAGGAATGTATCATAGTCTGAAAGATCAATATTCTGGGAATTGGACATTGTATGGCTGAGACCTAGTGGTTTCCAACTGAGATCCATTACTTGTCTAGTTGATGAATTCTCGAGTTTTTGAACTTCACCTTCAAACGTCGCGAATTCGTTTTATGGTTCAGGGCCACTACTTTTGATAACCCAAAAAACATGACATTTTATGGAATTCTATGGAGAAAATGCTATTGTTTAATGCTAATATCTATCGTATTATGACAATGGATCTTTGTAATCCAGCTTTGACTTTTTCAGTTTGGAATTCTATTGAAATTCCTTGTTGAATTTTATTTTGTAGATAATTTTCAAAGTCTATCAAACTTCCACCAACGCCAAAATATATATCCTTCGCAGCAACAAGGGCAGTTGGAATGTTCCCAGTAGAGTTCTTTGATGCCATGATTAATTCAATCAATAACTCACCAATTATTGGTAAAGTTTCTGGAGAATAGATGGTTTCCGATGTTATTATTAACCCTATTCTATTGGTGTCTTTTGTGATTAAATTGAAGAATTCTCTGTTCCATGCTCCTGAAAATAATTCAATTGAAATGTTTTTGTTAACCAGCGTTTCCTTAAACGCTTGAATTAATGCTGGTGTAAGTTGTAATTCATCATCAAGAATTGGTATTTCAGGATCTTCACTTCTTTGTAATTCTAATAATTGTTCTTGAGGTAAAGTTGAAGCCCAAGAGACAATTAAGTTTGGTAAAGTAACAAGTCTTAGTACAACTGGGTTATAGTCTGACAATTTGAACTTTAAGTTAGTTGTGCCTGTTTTTAAGGCTCTTTGAAATAGAAAAGTTGATGGTAATGAAGTACCACATCCTAATTCAACAACATCACCTTGACCAAACACTTCAGAATCGGATAAAGTGGAGAGCTTATCCACTGCATCGATCGAACATTCCCAACTTTTCAACCCTCCTTCATAGACATTTTTTTGTAAATCAGTGGTATCAGTTCCCATTAAAACACCAAATTCTTCATCTTGATTTTCACCACCTTCTTCACTCATTAATTGATGCTTAACATCAAATAATTCTCTTCTAAAGACAACTTGACCACTTGGAGTTGTATATCTTTCAAAAGTGACTCTAATATTTATCAAAGATTGTTGTAATTTCAAGAAATCTTCATGGATTGGGGGTTTGGCATCTTTATTTGATGAATCCAATGGATTCACACCTTGTGACACATCCACTTGAGCTATTGAGTTCTGGTTTTCGGCATCTATAAGCTCGTCATCGCTAAAATTATCCTGGGTGAAACCAAAAGAGAATGACATCTTCAAAAGCTGAACAACAAGCTTTTTTTTTATCTTCAAAATGTTTTTGAATCCGAAATGCTCATCGCTCTCAAATTTTTTTCAAAATCAGATTCGCGAAATCTGGTTTACCCAAATCTCAGGTGACTCAAATAATAAGGAGAAGATCAACCAAAAGATACAGAGCCTACAACTGATAAGCACTTGTTTAAACTAATAGAATCAGATTTTTTTATATAATTTTTATACACCTTTGCTCCTAATTGAAAATGACCACTCTTCTTTCTTTGAAAAAATTTCCTGTAATTGATAGTATATCTCATTCATAAAATGCTAATATGTGATCATGAAAAAACACAACAAAAACCAATACTGACTTGAAAAAAAAGAGAAACGAAATAAAATGTTATAAAAAAAAGTAAAATGAAAATCAATATAAAGTCAACTTGGGAAATTCAATTCAAAAAAAGGCAACAGAGATTGGGTGTAATATAAAAAAAAAATTGTATGATGATATTTTGATTGTGATTAATATAATCATGCAGACTCTCTTCATCCAAAAAAACGTTCAAAAAAAAAACTTTGTTACTAAATTATAATAAATAATGAGAAAACATTTGAATAGTAAAAAATTATATCAATCATAAGATATATTTGTTGTTGTAAAATGTGTTGTTTTTGTTAATTTTAATTTTTTTTGCTGTTATAGATATTTTTTTTGCTTGTAGATAACGATGAACTTGAAAAGTTAGTGATGAATTTCAAAAGATCTATTTGCTTTGAACTTGAGAGTATGTAGACCATGGGTTAGCATTCTTTGATTTCAAATATTCATCAGATTTTTCTTGCCATTCACGGTTCATAGTTCTTGGAGCATCTGGAGAGTTGTATCTAATTAAACCGAAAATGGCACCAGAGATAGCTAAACCAACAAAGACACCAGTGGCGATTTTACCAGCTTCACCTTTTGGATGAATTGGACGACGTGGACCCCAAGCACCATAAGAAATGTACCAAGCAGCTCTTTTTTCAGCATGAGTTAATTCACCCCATGGTAATTTTTGACGTTCACCTAATTGAGAAACAATTTCTTGTTGGTCAACAGCTGGTAATTCTTCCCATCTTTTTTCTAATTCAACAATAGAAGCATTTGAAATAGCATGAGTTTGAGCAAATCTAACTGGAGTGGTTCTAGCAACGTTTCTAGTCAAGTTTCTTGAAGCAAATGAACGTAGCATCTTGATATGTATTACTGGTTATAGGGGAATATTCAAATGTATGGGTTTAAGTTCGTTTGAATTGAATAATTGAAAAGAACAAGTTGTAAATATGATTTGTTTTCTAACTGGTTTTTCTTCCACTAGGGACTTTGGAAAAAAAATATCACCACATCAGAAAAAACCCAAAAAAAAAAAAAAAAAAAAATTGGTTTAAACAAAATTTAATTCGCTGGAGGTCACGTGCAAGTCACGCCTGGTCAGGGCACTCTCAGCATAACCGTACGAGAATGGAAAAAGAGTACAAAAGTAGTTTAAAAGTAGATTGAATTGTAACTATAAAGAGATGAATTGAAAATAAACAAACAAAGCACGCTTTTCGATTTATATTATATATAAAAAAATGTTCTTCCTATTGAGCCAACTTATCTTTAGTTGCTGATAAAAATTCACGATAACTTGGTTGGTTATTGATTCTATCTTCAACCAATTGAGATGCAGCCCATAGACGTAGACTTGAAACTTCTCTAGCATTAGCAGCATTGATTGGCTCATTGGCAGATCCTCCTCTAACAATATACAAGTTTTGATATAAAACTGTATCATCACCTTCTCTAACTTTAGCAATGATATTTCTAACTTTTTCATTAAATTCATTATCCAAAACTGGTAATTCATATTTACCAATTGGAACTTGGAAAATATCTGGAACACCGAAAACATCATTAACTAAATCTGGAACTGCATCACCACCAATCCATAAAAATAATTCAGTAGTGTTATTAATTAAATATAACCCATATCTTTCAAAATGTTCGGCACCTGAATTAATAGCATTTGGTAAAACAATTTGATTAGTTTCTGAATCTGGTAATCCTGCTTCATCTGGAATATCATGTAATGAATAAACAGTTGGATAAATATATCTAACCAATTGTGGTAAAGGTAATGAAGCCAACAAGTTTAATGCATTAGCTCTATGATCTGATGGAACTTTACCTGGTCTCAAACCAATATGTTTGGATAAAGAATGTAATAATAATGGTAACATTCTCAAGTTAGTTGAAAACATTAATGGAGATGCACCACCTAAATTACCTGCAACAACTTCTTTTTTATAAACATTCAACAAATCTAATAAATATTTAGATAATAAATCTCTTGCATCATTTAATGAAGATGAATAAACTTTTTCCACAGCTTTTTGAGTATAATAATTAGTTAAAGCCAATTGATCAGCAGAGGCATAAACTTCTGAAATGTTTGATGTTGTTGGAATTGCAGTTGTTATAACTCTAATTCTACGTTCACCAAAATTTGTTGTATGTAAAACAGCAGTTTGTAAATAAACAACAGGTTTTGTAATGTTTTCTTCAATTGAAATTTCAATAACATAACCTTGATCTCTAGGGAAAGTTGGGAATGAACATAAATCAGATGATCTATTGAAGAAATTACCATAAAATGCACTCATTCTTAATCCACTTGAACCTCTTGTTCTTAAAACAGCATCTAATGCAATATCTGAACTTAAAGTATTTGAAATTTCTTTTGATAATTTTGTAACATCTTCAATATTATTTGCAGTCCATGATGGATAATAATGTGTTTGACCTGCAGTAAATCTTGGTAGATTAGATAAAGTGGCAACATCTTGATAAGTACCTGAAGTTAAGAAAAACTCCACACTAACTTGTGATTTATTACAATCAACTGCAAATGATTTATAAAATGAATCATTAGCTGATAATAATGCAGATGCTTCTTTTGGCTTATCAGAAACACTTTCCTCATCTCTTTGAACTAATTTACCAACACCAACGTTTGGTAATGTTGAAGCAAATGCAACAACTTTACCACCACTTGATTGAGTTAAGTTATGTGCAGATTTTAAAGCTGGACCTAGGGCAAAGCTTGGATTTATAGTATCAGCAAATAAATTGTGTAAATTACTCAATAATTTTTCAATATTTTGTCTTGCAGCTTTAATATTGACTAACAAGGAATCTGGTGATGGAACAAATGGTTCATCTAGATCAGGAACAACAAATAATGAACATTCACCTTGTTCGGAATCTTCTGGAATGTTGAAATAATGTAATGTGGAATCAACACCAATGATTGCAATTCTTGATCTTGAATCACTGTTTGGAATTCTATCTAAAGTTTCCAAGATTGTTGTAGCAACAGTAGCTAATAACCCAGATTTAACTGAAGCAATTGAAACATCAATAACAAAAACATAAGATAATGGTTGAGGAGCTCTAACCATATATTCAGGTGGGGCAATAAATTCAACAACTGAATGATTCAATTCATTTCTTTCATATCTATTTGTAATTAAACCTGTATGATCATCAACATCAAAAGCTTTTGGAACATCATTTTGTAAAGAACATAAATTACATCTCCATCTTCTATTTTGTTCAGTGAAAGTGACAAATGGGTTGATATAAGTACGACAACGACGACAACGAGCAATAACAGTGTCACTAACTAATTTAACAGGATTAGTTTCATCTTGTAATGAAATATAAGGTCTTAGAACAACAGCTAAAGGTAATTTTGATTTTTTCAGTAATGAATGAGTAGTTGGAATAGCATTTAAAGTAGATCTAATGAAATCTGGTGGTGTATTTGCATTTGGATTATTTGGAATTAATGATGTATCAGCAGGTATGACTAAAGGTGGTGGTGGTAAAGTTAAATCATGGATTGGAGGTGGTAATTCTTTTAATAAATCTGTTTGATATAGTTGGTTTAAAGGTAAAGCTTGTCTAGTTGCAGCAGTAGCATCATGTGGAGATGTTACACCATTATAATTGTACCCACCAGCAGCACCTGGGTAAGCACCGCCTGCATTAGGAGTACCAATTGGAGCAGCACCTACCTGTGGATATTGTTGACCGTAAGCTGGTTGACCATATTGAGGAGCACCAGCAATGTTCATGTTACTGAAACCTTGAGTAGCAGCTTCTACTGATGGATCAACAGCTTGTTGTGGATAACCATTAGCACCTGGTGTGAAATAAGATGGAGCACCATTCACAGGGACAGCACCAGCTGCAGCTGCATCAGGAGTACCATAGCCTGGTGTTTGAGCAGGATAACCACCTTGTTGTTGTGGAACTGGGGCAGCTTGAGCTTGGTTCACTTGATACTGAGCAGTTGGATAATGACGTCTTCTATGACCAGACATTTCTCTTTTTCTTAGATATGAATTTGTGAGGTCAACTCAAAAAGATTGTAAAGAGACACGGATTCACTTGATTCAAAAGGAAGGTGATTGGGAACTCCTTTGATGATTGTTGTTGTTGTTGTTGATAATTGGAGAGCTGTCCTTTTCTGAAAAATTGGCAAAACAAACAATTGGATAAAAAAGTCAATCGCCGGCAAGCACAAATGCAATATCTAGCAGCTAGAGTCTCGAGCGAACTTGAACAGAACCCGTTTGGTTTTGGAATGGCTTTTGTATTTCCAGAGTTTCGCCTAATTTCCTCTGATCTGATTTGGATCTTGTTTTTTTCTCGTTCGCTGGCATTTCAAAGAAGTCGAGAAAGGCACGAGAGGGTAACGGCCTTAACTATTGTGTTCTGCTAGGGGCAGATGGCATATAAGGTGAGCATATTGTCTTGACCAGATTGACTTTGTTTTATCCTTGCAAAAAGAGGCCAAAACGATGTCAATTAAGATATACAATATCCAGAACAACGGGACAGTCCACACGCCTTTGCTCATAGTCCATGGGGAATCCACCGTATCGCAGAACGGTGTGCTATCCGTGAGCCATCAAGGAGACGCATTCCCTCCATTGCATTATGAAGTCAACAAGGGTTTCTTCAAGGCATTGGTCCATCTAGATCCCGGTGAAAACTCACTAGTCTTCACTCATAGTCAAGGCAAACTGGGTGGTGGTCAACCTCAGTTTGATACCAATGGTCAGAATAAGCCATATGCGGTTGGCTTCAAGATTGTTTATCAACCATTGTTACAGAATAGACCAGTTCATTTATGTTTGTTGCTAGCTAAAGATTCTCCTGGTGTTTATGATTGCACTCCTCAAAAGAAGAATCAAGAAGGTAATGGTGTTGACCTGGCAATCAAGAAACTTAGAATTGGTGGGAGATTGATGCAAGCATTTACAAATGAACAAATGTTACGAGCTGGATTTGGTCAAAGAACTTTTAATTTCGTTGAGGAATATACAAAAGATACACAATTCATTCAAGAATGGAGCTCCCCAAGATTCAGAAATACAATCAAGATTCATATCTTGCGTTCCAAAAAAACCTTGAAAGAATTGAGAGATTCAAATCTAGCCCAACAGAACCCAAATGGTAACAATACTGGTGGACTATTTGGAATTGCAATGGATGCTTTAAGAGACTATGGTGGTCCCTTTGTTGAATCAAACAAACCGGTTCAAGCAGCAGTGATATTTATGGATGCACATTATGATCAAAAATTGAACATGATCTTGACACATGCAGCTTTAGGTGGTGGTGATGATAAGATTAAACTAGCCATTTTTGGTTCTCATGGGTTATATTCGTGGCCTGCAGCTTTTGAACAAGTTGTTCCATGTTTCTTAGATACTACACCGAGATCAAGTGACGTTGCTAATGATGCTAATGAATGTGGTTCTTATTGGGAATGTTTAACCATCACATTGGGTGCATTTATGCATGAGATTGGTCACTTGCTAGGATGTCCCCATCAAAAATCAGGTGTGATGCTCAGAGATTATGTTACATTGAACAGATCTTATTTGACAAGGGAATCTTACTCAACAAGAACTGGGAGACAAGGTTTAGTGCCTATCTTGCCTAAAGATGAATGTACATGGCATAGGTTAGATTTATTGAGATATCTTTATCATCCTTCATTTACATTACAAAGTGATTATCTTGACCCTTCATTCCAGAAAACCAATAGATTACCAGGTAAGGCTTCATTGCTTCCTGTCGGTAATAGAACTGCATTGCTAAAATCGGCCACTGGTATTTATGCAATTGAAATTTTCCCTGGTGATTTAGCTGAAGGTTATATTGAATTTTTACCAAAATCTTTAGGTGGTGTTGGACCTCAACAAGAAGTTTATGTTACTGTTGATGAATTGAAATCAAAATTACCTAGAGATAAGCAAAACGGGAAGTTTTCATTACATGTTCAAACAGTTGATGGTAACCAATCAGATTTTAATGATTTTGAACACTTGGTTCAAGATACCTCCAATTTCTTACAATCAGATTTTGGTTTGGGAAGAGGCCAAATCACGGCCATCAAATCTGGTATTTTGGGGCGTCAAGATCGTGTCAACAATCAACCTATTGTGTTTGATCCAGCCAAAGTCACCTCTGTTAGAATTTATCATGGTATGGCACTTGATGGGGTTAGAATTAATACAAGAGCAGATGCTCCACCACCTCCATATTCAGCACCTGAAAACACTCCGCCAGTTCCAAGCAGAGACTATAAACATAAACTGGGTTCATTAATATCTGGATTTAGAAACCAATCAATCAAAGACCAATCAACTGTGCAACCTTATTCTGGATCCACATCTTCAGTGTTATTTGGTAAACAAACAAATAGCTACACTGACTTCCATTTACAGCCTGGTGAATTTATTTCTCACTTTATAGTTCGTAGTGGTCTTTGGTTAGATGCTTTACAAGTTGTTACAAATACAGGCAGAATGAGTCCAATGTGTGGTAATACAGGGGGTGGTGGAGAAGGTGTTTTGGAACCACCACATGGCTATGAGATTATTGGTCTTTTCGGAAATATTGGTGATTGGGTTGACTCAATGGGTGTTTTGTACACAAATAAGTTGTAAAAGTATTCATAAAATGTCTTGTCTATCTAAATTATATTGTAGAGCTACGTACAAATAGAAAGTATTCATTTAAATTTTCATTATAATAGAGCTCATATAAATAATTTCGTTAAGCATAGACATATAGCATTAATTTCTTAAATTATTCTTCAATTTGGCCAACTTTTCTGACAATTTATCCAATTCAATAGCACTTTTCTGACTCAAATTTGGATTCCCTCTTGCCCTATTCAATGATTCCAAAGGGTTCCCAGGTCCAATTCTTATAGCATTGGATGAATTGATGCTAGAACTGCTGTTACTACTACTAGCAGCTTTCAAGTTTGGTGGTAATGTTGGAACAACTGAGTATTTTCTTTCTCTAAAGGCAACACCAACCTCTTTAACCTTTTTATTATGTAAGTTTTCCTTTGGAACTTTGAAAAACCAATCTTTTGTTTCATCATATTCAAACAATGACCATTCAACACCATAAGGTTTTGGTTCTAATAAATAAACACAATGTAATGGAATATCCAAATTGGTAATTACATCCCTATTCAAATTCATGAAATATCCCAATAATACTCTAGCAACAACTCTATGAGTGATTAATAAGACATGATCTGTTGTTCTTTCAACCTCATTGATGATTGGTCTCACTCTGTTGATAACATCTAGATAAGACTCACCACCAATACCAGGATATCTATATCTTAATTTATCTTTAATTCTTGCACTGAATTCTTCAGGATATTTATTTTGAATTTGTTCATAAGTCATTCCTTCACAAATACCAGCACTTAATTCATTCAACATTCTAATTTCTTTGATGTAATACTCATCATCAGGGAAATACTTTGAGGATTCAATAGCTCTTTTCAACATACTTGTCCAAACAAGGAAATTTGGTTCTGCGGGTATTTCAGTAACTTCACCTTTTCTAGCCAATTCTGTGTAATGTTCCACTTGATCTTCACGAAATTTATTCTTTTCAGATTCAATAAATCTTGCTAAAGTTTTTGAGAATTTTTGACCTCTTTCAGTTAGTGAGGCATCACCACCGATCTTTCCTGAAACATTATCTTCACTTTCACCATGTCTTGTAATCCAAATTTGTCTTTCATTCAAGTTAAAATTCAATAAATAATAAATAGTTTGAGAAGCTAAAAATCCATGAATATTATAAGCAACAACTTTTTTACCAACATCAATCATTTTAATGTACTGTAAACCTTCGTCATCGTCAATTGTTTGATACGCTTTTTCGTAATTTGCCAATCTTCCAGTGAAATCTTTCAAAGCCAATTCTTGATCCATATCTTTATAATCAGGACCACTTAATTTTAATCTTATGTTTTTATGAACAATTGATTTATCAGAACATATACTTTCCAAATACAAGATTTTTATATCTTTATTTCTTTCATGGACTTTTTTCATAATTTTTTGTCTTCTAGACTTTGTGCTATTTGTTGCGTCAAATATACCAACAGAACCAGGACCATCTAAAAGGTAATCTAATAATTGATCTAAAGTATCCATTGCCCATTTTTCTCTAATGTTTTTGAAATTCACGTTATCAGGGTTGAAAAAACTAGCATCGTGTTCATTATGAGTTGCTGCTGCTGTTGCTGCTGCTTCTGCCATTGCTTCTTGTGCTTTTTGTCTCTCGTTATCTTCATTCTGTTGATGTTGTTCATCTTCCAAGGGTTCCCTGGCGGGGCCGTAATGGTTTGAGTCTTTTCTTCTTGTATTACCAACATTGAAAACTCTGCATTCATGCTGTAACCAATTTAAATATCTTGTCAACTTATTTGTAATGTAAGATTTCCCTCTAGCTGGTAAACCAACCATAACAATCACTAGCTTTGAGCCTGCTTCTGTTCTTGCAATTTCTCCAGTTGGTGAAGTCTTTGATTTGGTAACCCCAGGCACATCAATTGCAGTAGCTCTTCTTTTACTAAGTTTAATTGGAGGAACGCTTAAAACTCTGTCAATTGTTGGTCTCATTTCAGGTGAATTCTCATATGAAGTCTCCTCTGAATTAATATTTGATAGTGTAGGCGAGGTGTTGCTTGACCCGACAGGAGTATCAGTTAATGGTCTTTTGTTGAAGTCTGGTAAATGAGAGTCGCCATCGTTGTTGTTGGTGTTGTTGTTGGTGTTGTTATTATCCACATTTCTGAATGGATTAATTGATTGCTTTTCTTCCTCTGGTAAATGCTTTGGAGGGCATTGGAAAACATCCTCTTTCAAATGAATAGAAGGATCTGGTCTCAGTTTTGGAGATGGTTCATCTTCTGAACTTGAAGCAATGGCATTCTCGTTATAATAAAATGGATTGGATGCTTGCTTTGGACCCTGACCTGAAGATTGATCACGTCGAGACTCGCTCATGAAGAAATGGGTATATGAGTTTGGAAAAGTTTAGCTGGGAATGTCAACCAATTGCAACCTGACTAAAACACAACGTTTCCCTTGATAGTGTTTTTTTTGAGCTAAATGCTTATTCTCATCAATCGAATTTGGTACTCTGTTGTGCACCACTTGATCTGCCAAAATGACATGTGTCTGATGTCTGGATTCGCTCATGAGACGCAAAAAAAAACTTCGCGAACACGTTCTACAATCAGTTTCAACATCATCAAAAACTTTTGTTTTAATTTTGGCTTATCCCAATAGTCTTAGCGTGAGTTCTACTGTAGCAAATGTACCAGCACTGCATGGAATGGCTCTCACTAAGGCAGGACCTATACCTCTCCAGAATCCTAAAAAGCCCTGGGTTTTCCATATCTGAGATGCAACATCTATTGAATTTTTGAACTTAGCATCTTTACCAAAACCATCACTTTGCAACCTACTCTTTATGACGTCTAATGGGTATGAAGAAATCCATAATGCATCACCAGCTAATGCACCATATAGTAGCAACTCTGGAGTTGATATATCTTTTCTTTGTAAGCCATCTCTTGAAGTTAAAGCATTTTGAATCAAGAATTCATAAGTCAAAAACCAGACACCGTAAGCTTGAGCTTCTCTCGCCAAAGTTATTGTGGACCCTCTGAATATACCTTTAAGTCCATGATTGTTATAAATCTTGCGCAAGGCATCTTTAGGTCCTTTGTAAATTTGCTTTTCACCTGATGGTTGAGTTTGTAAAATGATTCTTAATTGTTCTACTGGTGCTGTTATGGGAGTGTTCACAACACCTGCAAATGCACCTGCTAGATAGAATTGTTTTAATGTTAGATCTTTCTGCCCAGGTTCCCCATATCTCTTCAACAATTGACGTCTTGCTTCATGGAATGCATAAAATTGAACTGAAACGCAAGCACCAACACCAATCAATGGTGGTAGTGTACCTTTATAGAAAGCTCTAGGACCTTCATTTTTCAAAGTTGATGTTATTGCTTTTATCGGAGAATCAAATTGACCAGTCTGTAACCTAACTTTGACAAGATCAAACGGTTGCCCTGTTGAAGAAGGTTAGTGTTTTCTTTCCTACCATATGTAAATTCTATCAGACTCACCGATCAACACTTGAACAGCACCACCTGTAAACCCAGCAGTCTCAATTGGATTGTTAGCTTCCGATATACATGCATCTTTTCAAGCATCAATACTCACGATATCTTTAGCCTTTCTAGACCAGCTGTTATCAACGTGTTCGGACATGAATCAAATTTTCTTGAATGAACGAATACACATTTTTTCAAAATTGACTTGATTGATTTCTTTATCAATCATCCTCGAGCAGTTGTTTCAATTGTTGATGATGTGAAGTTGAATGTGGCTGATGCTATGTCACGAGACTTGTGGCTGGTGTTCTGTGGCGTTGTGGCTGAGGCTGTTATCCAACTCACAAATCATTTTCACTTCCTCTTTGGGAAGTCATCCGATTTGTGTCTCAATCCGGAAAGTGGTAAACAAAGCTTTTGACAACTGAAATCAAATCCAAAACATCATCGGGCTCATCACCAACTTGATCAGAAACATACTTTTTATTCACTCACATCAACTGTGTGCTTGGTATCATTTCAACCACAAGGACTAGAAGAATCAGAACATGTCGTTTTTCCAGAGCTTGTAAGTATTGTATTGGTGTTTTTTAGAGAACTATAAAACTGACAAGTTCAACCAAAGACATTTGAATAATGGGCACACAATAAAGACAACAAGAGGGTTCAAGAGAACCCAACAAGGAACAGCTGCTTCTCCAGATACCTCAAACTCATATTATCCACAATATCAACAGCAGCAGCAACAACCATATCAACAACAACAACAACAGAGTGCGTACCCACATCCAACTTTGAGAAGTAATCGTGTCAATCAAGGTTTCAACTCCACAACAAGTGTCAACAATGACAGCAATAACCATAACTATAACTCAGTAACATCTCATAAAGATATAAAACATATTGTTGAATCAACGTTGGGTTCAGGAGTTGCGTTGGCACAAGCTGTTAAATTACCAAGAGATGAAAATATAAATGAATGGCTAGCTGTCCATGTTGTTGATTTTTATAACCAAATAAATATGTTATATGGTACTATAACAGAGTTTTGCTCTCCAAAAACTTGTCCAAGAATGACAGCTACTAGTGAATATGAATATCTATGGCAAGATTCAAACTTGACAAAACCTGTTAGCGTTAGTGCTCCAAAATATGTTGAATCATTGATGCTTTGGATTCAGTCTTTATTAGATGATGAGAATATTTTCCCTCCAATGATCAACCAGCCTTTTCCACCACAATTTCAATCATTAGTGAAGACAATAATGAAGAGATTATTCCGTATCTATGCACATATCTATTGTCATCATTTTAATGAGGTGATCGAACTAGGACTAAACACTCTGCTAAATACAAGTTTTAAACATTTTTTGTTATTCTCAGATGAATTCAATTTGATTGCAAACAAAGATTTTGGTCCATTACAAACTCTGGTGATAGAAATGTTGGTTCAAGATGATGACGATAACGGGAACAATAATTATGAAAACAACAATGAGATACCATAAGGGAAGAGTAATTAGTGACTACATGGGGATTAATACAGGTTATTTATATCAATAAGAGACAATTGAAAACGTACAATTTTGTAAAATTTCAAGATGGCAGATTCCATGTTCAATAACTGACAGAATATCCTCTACTGTGTGTATATAAGGTAATTCCGATGTTCTATTAATATACATATAATGTTACAATTAGTGGATTCTTGATTCTTCTTATAGTTGATGTGAAATGTTGAGTATTGATGAATTGTGCATAATTGGTTATTCTGGTTATGTAATACCTGACATTCCCCCCCTCATTTCTGAGTATTTATTGAATGTAATAATATTAAATATGATGAAACTTGATTTGGAACTATATTGTGTTGTCTTTTGTTAACCGGTGTTCAATTGGTTGTGATTGAATATGAAAGAATGAGTGAAGTACCTATAGATTTAAAAGAATGATTCTTGAATGGTGTGGTAGGTTAA